TCCACAGGTTTACAGTTTCCCATGTCTTCCCTGGGAAGCCAGGCCCAAATGTCACCTTCTCCTGGACATGCAAGCATTTCTGTAGTAGCTGTCGTGTCTTCCCCTTCCCTGGACTCTGCTGAAAGAGTCGAGAATTCTCCAGCCATTTCCAAGTTGTCCTCTACTTGGCTTTCCCAGCCCATTTCCCCATCCTGGAAAGAATTCTTATCTCCCCTCTTCAGGAAATCTGCTTATCATATCGCCATACACTCTTATCCATCTATAGTTTAACGTATTCATTCTAACCTCTCAGTTTTCCAGACTGTGCCCAACATATTCAAAGCCAAGCTCTTGGAATTAAAACAAACGTGCAACACAACATAAACCTTTTTCTCCTGCTTAAGTAAGTTCTTGGCTCTTACAATAAAAGAAATAACATGGCTTTCACAGCGATTGTCTCTGCTGTGTCCTTAAAAACTATTCAGAAATTCAGTGGTCTGTTTTAGGCTGTATCCACATTTCCCTGAGGTAACAAATGTCACAGCTTATGGAAAGGAGAACCACAGGACAACATCAAAATATACAGAAATGAAAGACCTCGACTAGTATTTCAAAACGTATCCCCTACTTGTAATTGCTAGCACACTCCATCAGTTTACACTGCTAGAAACCCAGACCAGAAAATGCAAATGAAAAATAAGTGATAATCAAAGATTGCACAGAACAATCTTTTCCTGCTGTGAAGAAACACATCATTACGAGAACCAAATGGGCTCTCATAATTTTAGGCAAAAATCTATTCAGTGGGAATGTTAGCTATATCCTAAAACATTTTTTTGAATATAAAAATTAAAAGGGAGAAAAAAAATGCCTTAAATAATCATGCAGTTTCGAGATGTTACCTACAAAGGAACCCAAATCAAACTGGCTTCAGACTTCTCTTCAACACTAAGTTTCAGAAAACAATGGAATGATTTCTATAGATGCGTGGGGGGGAAACAAGTATTACTCTAAAATGTTATACCTACTTAGTTCTGGGCTGGAAATATGGATTTGGGAGCTATTAGCATAAAGGGAAGAATGGCTGCCTTGGATGAGTAAGTTCACACAAGGAGAGATAGTAAAGTGAGAAGACCAGAACGTCTGAGTCAGATGCGTAAGCAATGCCAAGCCAATATTGAAGGGATAGGCAAAAACAGAATAGTCAAAGGGAATGAAAGGAAGCAGCCAAGAGGAGGGTAATTGTCAGGGAAATAAGAATCTAGAACTTTTCTACACCGTGAATCTGGAATCTACTGGGTTGAAGAGAGCCAAGAAGGACAGTAAGGTAAGGGCTGAATACCGCCTACTGAATTTGATGACAAAGAAGCCACTAGTAATAGCCTTAATTATAAAATTTGTAAAATTTAATCAATGAAAAATTTAAAGACATCTGATGTGTACTTTTATAAATCTAATGAATCACTAGCTTTTAAATGAATAATAATACATTTGTTCCCAGTAACTGAGATGAATTGCCCCATAACATTCAGAGTACAAGAAATGGCACATCCCTTTTTATTTTTTTTAATTGCGAAGTATATCATACGTACACAAAGAAGTATGTAATATACATGTACAGTTTAAGAATGATAAAATGAAAACCTATAAGCCAAGTTAAGAAATAAAACCTTACCAAGTACATAAAAGGCCCCTGTGTGTCCCTCACCACCCCAGGCCTCTTTTCCCCTCTGCCCCTGAAAAGTGATCAAAATCTGAATTTGGTGATAATCATTCCCGTACTCTTCTCTAGATTATTTCCTATGTATGTCTGTCTAACAAAATATTGTTTGTTTTGTTTGGTTTAAAACTTCTAATAAATATAATATTGAATACATTCACCTACAGCTTGCCTGTTTTGTTTAACATTATGCTTTGAAATTCATCCATGTTGATGCACGCAGCTACAGTCCATTCATTTTCAATGCTGTATAGTATTTCATGCTATGAATAGTATACACCACAATTTATTTATCCATCCTATCACTGATGAACACTTGGTTTGTTCCCCATGATTTTGCTCTTATGAACAATGGACCAATTAATATTCCTTTACATGTCTCCTGGATGGAGCTCCGAGTAGCCTGTCCTCTCCTTCTATACATGTATCCAATACATCTGCCCATTTGTGTCTGATGTCTTCATTTAGTGGCATCCAAGATGGTCAAAAGGAAACCATTCTAACAACGCATGCACATTCTTTGAATTAAAATTTCATCATTATTTTGAATATTTGATATGGAAAAGTTGATTTAGATTCAATATCCATTAGCAAGATCACAAGAAATTTCAACATAATATTTGTCAGGGAAGAAAAGAAAGAGCTGTTAGATTCTGTAAATATAATATCAACTGTTCATTTTTGAATGATTGTAAAAGGCTTTAAATTTTGCATTACTTGTGTGAACAAATTTATTGTCAATGATGACTATGCAGAATTTAAAGAGATTATTATTGAAAAATGTTCAACAGGAACTGGGCATAGCCACTTCAAGCAAAAACTCTTATATAAAAAAATGCTATGCTCGTGGAAGCAACTTCAAGTTTCTAATTTAAAAATGGAAATTATTTCATCTGAACAGTTACATAAATTCAACATCTTCCTTGACACATTTTGTAGTAGCCAGCCTCTGAGAAGGAACCCAACAATTCTTGTCCCCTGGTATTCACGTCCTGGTGTAGTTCTCTTTTAGATTGACTAGGGTGGACCTCTGAAACTAATAGCATTATTGCAGAAATGTTGGTGTGTGACTTCTAAGACTAGGTCATAAGAGACAATGTGGCTTCTGCCTTGCTCTCTCTTAAATCACTTGGTCTAGGTGGAGCCAGCCATAGTGTTATGAGGACATTCAAGCACCCAACGGAGAGCCCCATGTGCTGAGACACTGAAGCCTCCTGCCAACAGCCAGCACTGACTCACCAGCCATGTGAGTGAGCCATCCTGGAAGGGGCTCCTCCAGACCCAGTCAAGCAAGAGGATGCATCTTTTCTAAAACATTTTGAGAGATCCTGAGCCAGAACCATCCAGATAAGCTGCTCCCAAATTCCTGACCCATCATAAACTATGTGAGATAATAAATGTGTATTGCTATTTTAAGCTGATAACTTTTAGGGTGATTTGTTACATAGTAATAGATAGCTAATACACTTGTAATTTTATTTTCCTTACCATAATTACACAATATAAAGACAATGTCGATTGTTTTCAATAAATCCCAAATAGATGCCCCTAAATCTCCTTCTAAAATGGAGATAAGCTGTGCTGTTGGAAAAAAAAAAAAAGCAAAAGCTGGGATTGCCAGTGTTCTGGAGCTGTCACTCTCAGACAGACACCTTCAAGTCATCTTCACAAGCTCCTATGTTTCTACTTTTCTGTATATTGAGGCAAAGGGACAAAAAGGACAAAGGGCAAAATAGACCATGGTGGGGGTATTAGAAACTTTATTTGAAAGGTTTACAGGAAGTTAATGGGCCTGAATTCACTCTCTCTATAAAGCATGATGAGGATTGACACATTTGGAGGCCTTAAGCATTAAAACAATAATGATGCCTTGCTATGTGCAAAATAAAAACTACAAAACTATGATGTGTGTAAGAGGCCTCCCACATCTCTATTTTCCCATGATGCTTTTTTTGAAATGTCAGTTATCAAATTCATCTTAAAAATCATTTTAGTGCCTCTGTTTTGTCTCCGTACTCATAGTTGGCCCAACAACGCTGTTTAATCTAGCAATGATAAAACACTCTTTACAAACATAAAGATCCATTTTCTAACGTGAACACTGTTGATCATACCACCTCCTGTGCCCCAGTTATCATGAAATCAATCATTTTACCTTCCAGCTACTAGCTTTTCCCGAGGGGCTCTTGTTAGCCAAGCTACCTTTGATAAATGCTTATTCTGTTAATATTCCTTTGAAGCCCATTATGAACACCCCTTTTACCCAGAAACTGCAGTCTCTGGTTGGTGACTAAAATCAGGGCGGTAGGGCAGAGGGGAACTCATCTCAGACCTGCAGGCCTCCTGATGCCCAGGTTGTCCCTTTCTTTGTCCCATTCTCACCTTACATGCATGCAAAGGGCCAACCTATTTATATCCTCATCGTGGAGAAGGATTCAGCAGGCAACAAGTGCTACTTTCTGAGGTCAGCAAAGGTGCTTCACAATATCCCTTTTCAAAAACAAGATCCAGATATACGGCAGGGACGGGGCTCTGAACATCCTGCATACGGAAAAGTGCTTTGCTGCATTTAAGAAGAACTGATTGGGGCCAAACTCATGGAAATCAAAGTGATTTCACAGTTTGAGCCCCCATTTGTTAGATTAAGCACACACTTAAGGCATGGATAAAGCAGGAGCCTAAAAAACCTTTTATTTTTTTATAATTGATGTTAAAATTCTGAAGCTGAGCTATGCAGTATGATAGCTACTAGCCACATGTGACTGATTTCAAATTAATTAAAATTAAACACAAAATGCAGTTGCTCAGTCGCACCAGTACTTTCAAATGCTCAATAGCCACATAAGCACAGTTCTAAAGTATTTAAGTTATCGTGGAAAAGAAATTAAAAACTTCAGTGAATTCCCTTACATCTATTTTATGATTTGACACTGTTTTCAAGTTTGAGTTACACATTTGGGGAATTGGCAGGAGAACCATAATATTTTCAGAGTCTGGAGACCTGTAAAGAATTTAATCTAACCGTAGCCAGCAGGATCCTTCACAGCATTCATATCCTTGACCACCCCTCCACGCCCCCCATCAATAAACCATTGCCCTGGACAGTCACCCTTGCGCACCTCTCACCCAAAAGACCGACATTTAATAGGAGCTTCCGCTAGTTTCCTAGCAACGGCGACGCGAGCCCGCCCCTTCCCCCGCCGTCCCTCTCCTACCTTATTAGACTGGAAGGGGCGGGGCCGGGAGGCCTGTGTCCAATAGGAGGGGAGCGGGGGAGGGAGTCCCGGCCGCGTCCCCGTCGCCAGGGAAACCACTGCAGCTGGAGGCCGCGCGATGCCGAGCGCCGAGGAGCGGGCCGCGCTGGCTGAGCAGAACGCGGCCGAGGATCCCGGCGCGGACCCGCGACTGCGACTCCTGGGGGCCTGCGTGGCCCAGAGCCTGCGGCCGGCTGCGGGCGCGTGGGAGCGCTGCGCGGGCACGGCCGAGGCGGAGCAGCTGCTCCACGCCTTCCTGGGCCACGATGCTGCGGAGGGGCCGCGGCCGCTGCTGGTGGTGCGGCCCGGGCCCGGGGGCCTGGCGGTGCGGCCGGGGCTGGACGCGGGACCCGAGTCCGGCCCGCCTCGTGCTAAGGGGCTCTTTTTCCTGCGCACCAGGCCCGAGCCGCCGGGCCCCAACAGCCTCCGGGGCGCAGTGCTCTGCGGGGACGTGCCCGCGGCGCCTCTGGAGCACCTGGCCGCGCTGTTCTCCGAGGTGAGGGTGGGTTGGTGGCCCCGCGCCGGCTGCAACTGGGGAGGGGGAGGGGGCGGAGACATGGGCGGAGGCGGTGCCAGAGGGGAGGGGCCAGATGTAGAGGGGCGGGGCCACGGGAGAGGGAAGGCTTGAAGGGGAGTTTGAGGAGTCCAAGGGAAGTGAGAGGTGGTGGGGGCGGGGCCAGAGAGGGGGCGGAGCTGGATGGAAACAGGCCTGGAGATGGCATCTGAGACGAGGGTGAGCTTAGATGGGAGCTGAGGGGAATCTGAGTAGGGGCCATGCCACAGTGAGCATGCGAAGGAGCTAAGGCTTCCTTCAGCCCTGGTCTGTGTCCAAGCCTAAGGCAAGGGGAGGCTGGAGTCTGAAGAGTGCCTAGGTCCTGAGCTTCTTTTAAGGCGGTCTCTCTAATCCATCCTGTAACCTGGGACTGGGGAAGACGGGAAGTGGTGAACAGAGGCTCATTTCTATTGGGTCAGGGAGGCGGAGGAGCTGAAAGTCTAGGAACAGTTGTTACTTCCGGAGAAGAGTTCGAAGAGGGAGGTGGTTTGGTTTTGATGTTCGCCTCATTCGTTCGTCACACAACCATTTACTAAAGGTCATCTCTGCGCCAAGGCAAGAAGTTAAGGCATCCAGTTGGAAATATCCAACAGACGTTTGGAGGGGTCTGCCTGGAGCTCAGGGAGGAAGGTCCCTGGAGATGTGGATTATGGGGTGCTTCAGTGGCATCATAGCGGAAGCCTGGAGAAAGCAGATTTCCGAGGGGGTACCCAGGAGAGAGTCTTGGGGCATTTAGGCCTTTCTGGAATGGGAGTGAACTTCTCTGCAAGTCTGGTGTGTGTGCTTGATGGAGGCTTGATGCCCTGGATCCTGCGGGTTGTGAAATAATTATTTACAGAGTACTGGCTATATTTCGTGTGATAGGTGCTATGGGGAATACAAAAGAAATAGAAGACAAGATCTCACCCATGAAATTAATCATATATTTATCCAAAACTAGTGTCACTGAGGTGGAGGTAGAGCTTACCTAAAGTCGACCCCAGTGCTGGAACCAGATCCTGCAGGCGCCCAGCTCTATCAAGTGTCAGCCCTACAGTTGCCTTCTCAGGAAGCTATGGGTGGGGGGTTTCCAGGGAAGGGGCTAGGGTGACAGAGGAGCTCTCAGGGGGCCCAAGGAAACTAGGTTTCTCAGTAGAGAGGGAAGTATTTCAGTATTTCAGCTTTACTGCTGTGCATTGTCTGAACACCATCGCTACAGAAGTCCAAGCTTGGATCAAATGCCCTAATGAATGATAATAATAGAAAGAAGTGCCATTGGGTTCAGAGGAGAGAGAGATGCATGTGGTCTGAGATCCATACTTAGCCTCAAGTGCTGAACTGGCTCCCAAACAGAGAGAAGGAATAGGATAAATAAAGAGCAAGGTAACTTTCAAGGTGTGAGGAGCAGAGTGAACAAAGGTTGGGAGATAGAACTACACCTCGTGTATTGGGGGTGGGGGGTTTGGACCACGGCTCCATCTCAGAGTTGTGTCATGGCCTAGGAAATACGGTCCAGCAAGCAAAAGTAATTTTGAAACAATTCAAATCCTCACATGGTCCAGAATTTTCACTGGTGCATTGAAAGAGATTGGACCAAACTGAATGTGCATTGGTAGAGGACTGGGGGAATGAACAAGGTCCATCTATAATGAAAAGGAACGATTGGTGTGGAACAATTTCTTAATTTTTTTATTGTGGCAAAAAACCCACATAAGGTAAAATTCACTCTCCCAACAGTTTCCAAATGTACTGTGGAATATTGATAATCCCATGCACATTGTTGTGCACCAAATCCTCAGGAACCCCCACCCCCCACAGCACCCTGCATGACTGAAACTACACCCACTAAACAACTCTCCACTTCCCCCTCCCCCAGCCCCTGGCAACCACCACTCTACTTTCATCTCTATGAATTTGACCGCTCTGGGTACCTCATTTAAGAGGGATCATACAGTATTTGTCTTTTTGTGACTGGCTTATTTCTCTTAGCGTAATGTCCTCAAGGTTCATCCGTGCTGTAGCATGTGTCAGAATTCCCTTCCTTTTTAAGGCTGAATAGTATTCCATTGTATGTATAGACCACATTTTCTTTATCCAATCATCTGTGGATGGACATTTAGGTTCCTTTTACCTCTTGACCACTGTGAATAATGCTGCAATTTAAGATAATTTTCTTAAAGGTACAGAATTGTGTGTATAGTATGCTACCACTTCTGATAAAAAGAGAAAGGAGAGAGGAAGGGAGGAAGGAAGGAGAGAGAGAAGGAGGGGAGAAAAAGGAAAGGATAAAGGAAAAGAGGGAGTGGGAGAGGAAGGAAGGAAGGCAGGAAGGAAAAACATTCTCTAACAGGGTGGTCCACAGGCCGGGGGAACCAGGTGATTGAGGTACGGGGGTAGGCAGAAGACTTACTTTCCACTGTAAAAGTTATTGCACCTTTAAGATTTGGACCATGTAAATTTATTATCTATTTAAAAATCTAAAGAAACTAATTTATTTTTAAAATACCTCCAGGCCTTTGCCTTCATTTCTCAAAACCTCTAACAGCAATCCTTGGGCCACTCAACCCTCTCCTCTCCCATGTGCTTCTTTTACACGTCCTGAAGCTGATCCAGTGTCACTTCAGAACCCTGCTCCCCTCCTGTCCCCAGGCGCCCCCCTCCCCTCCCAGCTCTCCTGCCAGCTCTCCTCTCCACCTGTGGATCAGTGTAGCCTCGGGCTGCGGGCTCCCCTCGTGCTCCCACCTCCCCACTCAGCAGCACTAAACTGGAAAGAATCAGCTGGCTGAGAGATGTCTTTCCTGTGTTGTGTTGGGGAGTGGGGGGTAGGCAAGGGGTGATGCTGATGAGGCAAGAAAGTTATAAACTTTAACATTATTGTTGTCCTGTTACACTAGTACGAGGTAAAAAATGTTAAAAAAATGCATCCAGGAAACGTTTCTAAGAAAGAATTGACGGAATTTAGTAATGAGTTCTGTTCCCTTTCCTCCTCCTCCCAGTCACTTTATGCCCTGCTGCCAGCTTCTTTTTCCTAGAGCTCTGGAACTTGGGTGCCACTTTGCGGTTTTGTGTTTTGGGAGGGGAGCGTGAGATTTGGAGTCTGATGGACCTGGGTTCGAATCCTGGTTCTGTCAAATTCACCAGTGTGACGGGAGCAGGTTAGCTCACCTCTGTCAGGGTCAGACGACTTTGCAGTGTTCTCAGGAATCTTAGAAATAACATAGTAGGACACCTGGACTAGAGTGTGTTATGCTGTAGGTATTCCAGAAAGGACAGGAATTATTCTCACTCTGCATCCCACTTAAAAGCTTCCAACCTTCTCTGACTCATCCTTGTCAACTTCTACCCAGACCTGGCTCTTCCTGGAGAATCCAGCTGTATTTCCCCCCCAGTTCTTCTACCTCTGAGCCTGGAAGTGGGATAGGTGTCCCCCTTGCCCCTCCTGCTGCTTCTAGATTCATATCAAAAAATATCATTTGAATCTCAGGCCATCAGACGAAGCCACCCTCTCTCCTCACTGCTGTGTCGTGCACTGACAGCACTGCCCTCACTTCTCCGCGATTGGGCTCCTGGCTCCTGTGGCGCTCCCCAACTTCACTCCTCTCTTACCATCTGGCTATTTCTACAGACACATAAATGATCCTTCCAATAACCTGGCCTCTGGGCTCCTTGAAGCTTTTTCCTCCAGTGGTCCTGTCCCCTTCTCCATCTCAACCACTTCTTCCCGTGGCCAGTCCCAGACCTTGCATTACCAAACCAGCCCCTCATGATCCACTTTCAGCCTCCTCTTTCTCTGATTATTACTCCTGTTTTTCCTGCTCACTCCCTCTAATATCCCCATTCAACAAGCCTGTGACCCTGCTGGCACCTCCAATTCTTTGATCCTGCCGTCTTCCCGCTGTCCCTCATGCACACCCCTGTTCTTCCCCTGCTTACCCAGCTTGAGTGCCAGGCTCCATCGTTATCCTCATCATCATCATTCCCTGGCATAAGCTCCTGACTTACTGGCCTCTCCATTGCTTTGTGGGACTTGTTTGGCAAAACCACAATCCTGCTGAAACCCAACTCTGTCTACTCCATTCCTGCACCCAGGAAGCTGAATGGGGCTAGAGAAAAACCAACTGGTGCCACTTTAAATTCATGAGCCTGGACTTCCAGCAGGTCTTTTTGCTTCCCAGCCAACATCCCATACTTCCTATTTTAATTATGTTCTTGCTCTTCTAGATCACTATTGCACACTTTCTTTTTTTCCTCAAATGCCCAAAATCTCTACAAACCTCACTTTGTGATGCTCTTACTTCTTACTTTGTTTTTAAAAAAATGGAAACAATAGAATAAAATTTTCACAAACTCTTAATCTACCCCATCTGCCAATATCTGTGCTCATATACTCTGCCCTCCCTTCCGTCGCTACAGATGGACTGTCTGCTGCCTTCTGATGCCAACCCTAAGACTAAAACTGCCACTTTTGCTCTGAATCCTGTCCATTCTCATCTCCTTAAGGAGGTTGCCCCAGCAAGGCTCCCCTCTCTCCTACCTTCTTATTTTTTCCCTCTCCACTAGGTAATTCCCATCAGACAAAAATCCCCTTTCCTCCCACCAGCTCTCATCCCATTTCTATGGTCCCCTTTATAGAAAGATGTCTAGAATATGTGTCTACTCTTGCTCTGTTCCATTTTTTTCCTATTTTACCTTATACTCACTCATTAGGCTCTTAGCCTCACACTAAACAGAAGAGAAATTAAGAACTTTATCAAAGTCACCAATGACTGCCTCTTGACTAAATCGAATGGCCATTTGCCAGTCCTCTTCCCGCTTGACCTGTGGGCAGCGCTTGGCAGAGCTCGAGCTCGTGATGACCCTGTCCTTCTGGAAGCACTTCCTTCACTTGCCTTCCAGGACATCTGTCTTCTGTTTTTCCCCTGTCACGATGGCCACTCCTTCTCAGTTTCCACTGATGATACCGCCTCTTCTTCCCAACTTTTAGCACTGAGAGCTCTAGGACTCAGGCCTTTGACATCTCCTCTTCTTTATACGTACTCAGTTCCCTGGGGATGCTCATTTAGTTTCAGAGTTTTATGAACCATCTGTATCTGACACCTCACAAGTTTGTTATCTCCAGCCTTTTCTGCTCCTCTGAACTCCCAACTACCATATCCAACTGCCAACTCAATGTCCCCATTTAGAAGTCCAATAAATATACCAAATTCTAACGTGTCCAAAAACACACTCGTGGTCTTCCCTCAAGAACTTACTCCAGGGGGCCGGACCTGTGGCCACGTGGTTAAGTTTGCATGCTCTGCTCTGCTGCGGCCCAGGGTTCGCCAGTTTGGATCCTGGGCATGGACCTACACACCACTCATCAAGCCATGCTGTGGTGGCATCCCACATAGAAGAACTAGAATGACCTACAACTAGGATATACAACTATATACTGGGGCTTTGGGGAGAAAAGGGAAAAAAAAGAAGAGGAAGATTGGCAACAGATGTTAGCTCAGGGCCAATCTTTAAAATAAAAAAAGCTTACTCCACCCTTATTCTTCCCCACTTTAGTTAATGGCAGCTCTATTCTTCCTGTTGCTCAAGTCCCAACCCTTGGTCATCCCAACTCCTCTTTTTTTCTCACAACCCCACAACTAATCCATTAAGAAATCATATCGGGGCCAGCCCCATGGCCTAGTGGTTAAGTTCGGCATGCTCTGCTTCGGTGGCCTGGGTTTGCAGGTTCGGATCCTGGGAGCAGACCTACACCACTTGTCAGCCATGCTGTGGCAGCAACCCACAACACAGAGGAAGATTGGCACAGATGTTAGTTCAGGGCCAGTCTTCCTCAGCAAAAAAAATAAAGAAATCATATTGGCTAAGCCTTCAAAATTTATATAGAATCAAACCATTTCTTATCATTCCCATCACTACACCCCTGTGCTAAGCCACTGTCTTCTGTATTGTAGCAATAACTTGCTAACTGATCTCTTTTTCTACTTTTGCCTCCTGGAGTCTATTCTCAACATAGCAGCTCGAGTGAGTCTACCAAAAAAGATGTCATAACAAGTCACTTATTTGTTCAGAACCCTTCAATGATTTCCATTCCTCTGGGAGTAAAAATCAGAATCCTACAGGCAGGCATACAGCTAGAATATACAACTATGTACTCGGGGCTTTGGGGAGAAGGTTTAAAAAACAAAAAAGAAGATTGGCAACAGTTGTTAGCTCAGGTGCCAATCTTAAAAAAAAAATTAATTAAAAAAATCCTACAGGCAGGGCTGCATGTGATCCAACCCCTTTTACTCACCCTGACTCTTCTTGCTCACCCTCTTCCAGTTTCACTGACTTCCATACTGCTCCTTTATCACACTAGGCATGATCCTACCTCAGGGCCTTTGCACTGGCTGTTCCTTCTGCCTGCAATATACTTTCCACAAGGATCTGTTTCCCCCTTGTCCTATCCTTCCCAGTGTTTGTTCAAACGTTACCTTCTCAATGAGGCCCTCATAGATCACTCCATTTACGATTGCAACCCCTCCAGCCCACACTCCTGATCCTCCTCACCTGCTTTATTTATTTCCTTTTTCACAGAACTTCTTGTTTCTTGACTGTCTCTCCCATAGAATCATGAGGTCAGGAATCTTTGTCTGTTTTGTTCACTGATGTGCCTGGCCAGCACCTGGAACAGTGCTACCACATAGTAGATACTCAACAAATATTCATCAACTGAATGAATGAGTAGCTTTTCATTTCATGGAGAGTTCATGTTCATTATTTTTCTATCACTCAGAGCCCTCCAAAATCCAACCCCAAACCTACCTACCACTTTTTCTTCAAACAACATACATTCAGTTTTTCTATGAAACTCCAATGAGGGCTTCCTATATGCCAGACCCTAGGAAGCAAACCCACAGTTCATCCTCTCTCCCCGTCAGGCCCTCTGCCCTGGGTCCAAAGGGTCCTTTCTTGACATGAATGTGAGAAGAGCTCAATTGGTGACATTATTTCCTGGCACTCTCTGTTCACCTGTTGTCATAAGTGCTCAGCTCAGTGGTTGTTTCCAGACCGACCAGGCAAGCATCATCCTCCGGGATTTCACGTGCTGGGTCCGGGGATTCTATTTCATAGCCAGATGGGCTTATTGACCATATACAGAACCCAATCCACCATATGAGTCCATAGTTCCTTTTCATTATTTACTTGGTAGTTACTCAAATTACCTGATCACCTGTTTTTCATTCTAGTTTTCCCTTTCCATTAGTTGTGAGCTTTTGACAGGCAGACGTTCCTAGTGAGTTGTATTAGTTCAACTTTCTAAGTTTCTAGTGTTAGAAAACTCAGTTTAAACTAGCTCAGAGACTTCAAGAGCAGCTTGATTCAGGAGCTCAAATGATGTCATAGGACCTGGTCTTTCTGCATCTATAAACTCTCCCTTCTGCATCCTGGCCCAATGCTAAGGCTCCTTATGGTAATAAGATGGCCACCAATAGCTCCAGACTCATAGAAAGGAGAAAAATTCTCTTCCTCGAGAAGTTCAGATAAGAGACTTTGGCCTGACGCTTGTTGCCTCAGATTTGTCCACATGTCCACCTCTGGATCTGGAGACTGGTACCAGGTGAAGAGAAACTATGTCGAGTGGCCAAAACCAACTAATGTTCACCCTACAGATAGATTCAAGATCCTCAACTTTGCTTCCTTTTTTAAGATACCCCCTCATACCACCTATAGACAGCTGGTCATCCTTACCTGCATTTGTCCTGTTTTTTGCCTCTGGCCTTGTGACAGTTTCAGTAACCTCCTATGCACCCTGTTGATGAGGGAGGGGTTCCTGCCCCAGGGTTATGGGGATGGCCAAACATACAACACTGGAGAGATGAGACTGACAGCAGTTTACTAGTCACGTACAGTCACAGCCCAGAGTGGGAGGATGCTGTGCTATGCAGGGCCATGTGCAGGTTGTACTTGGGTAGAGTGAACAACCAGGGGCTGTGGGAGGTAAGCTTTGTAGTGTAAGGAGGGTGTGGTGCCCATTGGTTCCTGTGGGAGGATGGGATTGGCTTGTTTGAAAATTCCGCAGGCTGGCAGGGAGCTGAAGCCTGCTACTCAGGGATAAGCAGCAACTGTGCCTGCTCCCCTTGATAAGGAGTGTTGTTTGGCTAAGGGACTTCATCTGCAGGAGCGGAGTCGGGCGGGAAACTTGGGAGGAGGTTACTCGAGGCTTTCCCAGTTTTCCCAGATGTCAAGGCAGTCCATAATGTTGGCTCTTAGTATTAGGCCTCACAGCACAGTGGCTTGTAAAAGGACGCATGTAGCTTTCTGGGCCTTTCTCAGAATAGTCTTTCTTTAAGTTCTCAGAAGGAGAATGCCTGCCTTTATTCGTGTGCACCTCTGTTACAGGTCGTTATCCCCGTCTTGGCCAATCAGAAGAATCACCTAGACTGGCCCCATGTTGTTTGTCAAGATGTCCAACGGCACGCCCACAGCCTCCAGTGCGACCTCCTGGTTATCCTCGAGCAGGTGAAGGGGAAAACTTTGTTGCCTCTTCCAGTAGGCTCAGAGAAAATGGAGCTTGTGGATTCTGAAAAGGAGACCATGTGAGTACTGCCAGCCTGGCCATGTGGGACTCTGAGATATGGGAGATGCTGGTTTATCTGAATGTTTTCTTTACAACTTTTCTGTTCCTGACTCTGCGCGTCTCCTCGTTCTGCACACAGCCCACTGTCTGCTCTGTTTGCCAACGTCCTTGGACTGTATGTTTTGTGCTGATTACTACCCTCGCCCCAATCCCGCTGCCTGAAGTCTTTTGAGGTTATCACAACAACATGGCCTTTTTTTCCGCTCAGAATTATTTCAGCGTTGAGAGCAGCCACACAGATTTCAGTATTTTGCTTATCAGGACAGTGTCTCATCATTGGCAATGACCCAGGTCCAGTTTGCGAGATAGCCGCACCTCTTCCCAGCATTTACCTGGCACATGATGTCACAGAAGTAACTCTGGTGGCTCTGGTTTCAGTTCCAGACCCTTCTCCCCCAGCAGCTGGAGACGTTTTTTAGGTCCTGCGGATTTTTTTTCAAATAGAAACCAATCTGGCTCTGTTGGAGCTTGAAGTCCATGCCTCTTATGCCTGGATAGGCATCAAAACCTCAGCCTCTTCTCTTTTTAGGAGTTATGTCCACCTTCAGCTTCCACTTACCATTCAAGTTACATGCTATCTTTGTTTCTGTCCCATGGGGATTTTTTGTTTCTTTCAAGCCAGGCTATGTATCTAACTGATATGTATATTTTATATTCTACCCAGTATTTCTTTTTGGGAGGAGGTAGGGGGAGTTGCTCCTAACAAGATGTTTAAGGTGAAGGGAATTTCCCAAACACAGAAAAGAATTTCATCTGTTGGGTTGCCAAAATAAAAATGTCCGCGATGATTTCATTTTAAGCCATTAGTGGCAGTAGTAAGACAATCATCTTCTTGATGTTTTAGATCCTGAAATTAAGATGTTTTGTTGGCTCAACGTAGCAACATGGATGGATGGAGGACCATGATAGAATCCACTATCTTTATCATTTTCTTGAATATGTGAATGAAATGTCGTTGGCTATGATGCAAGGTTATATAGAACTTAGCGCAAAGCCTCTGGATCCTGGCTTTTAATCCAGGCTCTGCCACTTACTGGCCAGATGACTTGGGAGCAATCATTTAATCTCTCCCAGCCTCAGTTTCCTCATTTGTAAAAAGGAGATGACCTTATCACCTACATCATATTCAGGGTTCTTGTGAGATGACATCTGTAAAAAAGTTTTTAGGACAGTGCCAAGTGTTAACAGTGTTTAATAAATGGTAGCTATTATGATCAAGTTATGGAGACGTGAGATTGGGAATTGGCCAAAAGAGTAAAAATGCAAGGCCTGCTGATGTCCAGGAGGTACTAGACATGTACCTTCAAGGATAATCTGGGGGAAGGAGGTCACAATGGAAGCTGAAGTGGGTGACTTCCAGGTTGGATGACCTCCATCAAACAAGATGAGCAAATTCCCAAATGCCAACTGGCCACGTGTGCCTGAGATTACCCAGCGTTTCTGTGTGTTTGTGACAACAGGCCACCTTCCTACACAAATTCAAGCTGCCCTAATGCCATCAGTTTTCCAATGTATTGCTGTCATCGTTGTATACTCAGAGCCCATGATTTGATCTGAAGAATAAGTAATGCATGGGTTGGCAATGTACTTTATAATAAGTTTTTGCTATTGGAATTCGCTACATATCTAATTTGAAGCAATGTCCCAGTTAAGTGGAAAACATTGTGGTTTAAGAAAAATATTACATTTTCAAAATAAATAAATTCAAATTACCCTTTTCCTGTTCCTTTTGTGTTTTAACATAATAACAATTGAGGTATGTGTATCTAATCATTGCTGAGTTTGTCTCCCTTTGTTCAAATTTGATGATTTCCCCAAAGGCTGGATCATATTTCAGGGAGGTGAATATCTTCTCCTTTAATACCTTCCGTAATCCCTTGTGCCATATCATTGCTCAGTAAATATGAATTTAATTAAATTGAATGAAGATGAGTTTCCGGCATGAAAATGTGAATGATGGACTCTTTCTTTGTCACTCAGGTCCTGGGTTCTTGGCATGAACAATTTCGAGTTAAGACTTTGCGAAAAGGCAGTCAAAATGTATTTTTGATTTTTAACTCCTTCCAAAAAATTCCTCGTTTATTTATTGTGTATTGATTTATTTAAAAGGTGTATGTGGGGGAATGCTTGGGAATTCCCTTCTCCCCTGGAAAAGTGAGGACAGAGTGAAGGTGCTATTGTTGTTCAGATGTCTGATGGTTTGCTTTGTGGAGAAGAAGGTAACTTGTTTCCCCTTACTGCAGAGGTCAGAACTGAGACCAGAGAGAGGAAATTGCAGGGAGATAGACATAGTTCAACGCAGAGACCCACATTCTCTGAGGGAGATCTGACCTACTGAGGACGGCACTGCTTTGTCAAGTAGGGAGCTTGCTGACATCGGTGGGGTTCAAGCAGAGGTGGAGTGGTTGTCTGAATGTTTTCTGTCCAATGTATTCCTGCATTGACAGAAAGACTTGAGAGGATTCAAAGTTCTTAAACTGGTCTTCAGAATATTGGTGAACCCCTGAATTGTCAATATTTTGTATGAATAATTGTATATGCATGCATGCAGAAGTGTTTTGTCTATGGAGAGGATCTGTACTTTTCATTGACTACTCATTAGTCTATTATCCAACAAAGGTTAAGAAAACCTAGATGGAATGTCCCACCTTTTTTTTTTTTTTTTTTTGGTGAAGAAGATTGGTTTTTAGCTAACATCTGTGCCAGTCTTCCTCTACTTTGTACATGGGACGTGCCACAGCATGGCTTGATGGGTGGTGTGTAGGTGTGTTCCCAGGATCTGAACGAGCAAACCCTGGGCTCCCAAAGTAGAGTGTGCAAACTTAACCACTACACCACCCAACGAGCTCCTTTCCCACCTACTTTTAAAAGATTTGGGATTCTGTTTTGGAACACCCAGCGTTGAGTTATTTCCAATGGCTCAGGAGGTTTGTTGTGTCTTTCACAGCTTGGATTCCACGGATAAGTCAGTCATCTACGCCCTTGAGTCTGCAGTGATCCAGTGGAGCCACCGAGTCCAGGTGGTGCTCAAGAGGGAGTCTTCCCAGCCACTCCTCCAAGGGGAGAACCCCACTCCTAAGGTGGAACTGGAGTTCTGGAAGAGCAGGTGGGCACGTGCCCCAACCCTGGGAAGCAGATGTCTTAGGGAGGATCAAGGCCTGGGCGAGGCAGCCGTGGAGGCTGGTCCCACTTCTGGGTGTTTCTCATCTCCCCTAGAGCAGACAGCTCGGTGTAGTTTGGGTCAATATAGTTTTTCTGTGCAGTAGGAGATGCACGCTTCCCCCAGGTTCAATAGTTACCCCTCCTTTCTTGGGCTACAGTCAGTATGTCTTCCGATGTTTCTTTAAAGGCTCTTTCAACTACATGTAAAAAACTGATTCACTCTTTTTCATATTTTTCTTCTATTTATCTATACCCTTCTCCTTGATCAGTCAAGGGTATATGCACACACTTTTTGTAAGGATCTAGAGAAAGGGGGGGTTTTGGCAGTCAGCTGCAGAACAGCCTCTCCGGAGTCCCGGCCGATTGTTCCCAGGGCTAACCCTACTAACAATCTCCTAACAACCCTACTAAGCCCATCGTGCACTGTGCCCAGCCCCATCGGGTTCCAGAAAGACCTAATCATTGCTCCTGCTTATTCCCCCTTTTCCTCCCCATTTCCTTGCTCCTATTTATCATTGTGCTGATTAATCTTTTACTCAAAAGGAGACAGACAGATGTTTGAGGCAGATGTCCCTGTCCTTGCATTGAATGGAGAGTGTCCGTGTCACATGACCAGGCATGCCTGTAGGGCTCCAGCCCTGTTTGCACCGCCATGCTGAAATGCCCCATCCTTTTGGCTGGTTTCTGGCCATCTGGTTGACCTACTGTGGGCCCTTCTCCAGCAGCCTCGCTCTGACAACACCTCTCACCCCACCCCAAACCTTACTGCAAGAGCTAATGGCCTCCAGCTGCCAAGCTTTTGAGCCACCAGATGGTTGCAGCAGTGTTCCTGCTGTGACCTCCTGGAGCGGCCCCTTTGAACGTGTGTTCCCGACTCAGGCTTTTGCCCTCACTGTTCTGGGAACAGAGGTCCTGGCTCTTTGGGCTGGAGCGGCCTCCGGTGGAAGCACCCTGCATCAGGGCTCCCTCTGTCTCTCTGAGGGTGGGTCATGACAGCGTGATTTGCATTTCCTAACATTCACCTGGATTCGTCTTCTCCACGGTGTTGCAGGTCTGAGGATCTGGAGTACATTTATAATCAGCTGAGAACGATGCAGGTGAGGGGTGTGGCTGGGCTCCTGGACAAGCTTCAGAGCAGCTACTTCCCAGCTTTCCAAGCCATGTTCAGAGATGTTGTATCAGGTGAGAACCAGCAAGTGTTTTCATAAATACACTTGACACATTTCTGATTTAGTGCTGAATTATCTTCTTTCTTTGATTTCAGCAGCTTCCAGTCCTTACAACTCTCCAACCTGACACAAGCTAACATGTTGGCAAGAATCCCAAATCTAGAAGCAGGAAAGCAGTTACCCTGTGCTCTGTTTGCATTTCCACTGCTTTGTGACCCAAGCAAAGTCACTTAACCTCTCTGAGCTTTAGTGCATACCATGGTTATTGTGCAAACGCTTCCCACCTACTTCCCTGGGCCATTGTGAGATAATGCAAGTGGAAGTATTTTACTGAGTGTACCACACTGTACAAATGCATGTTGTTATCTCTCACCTCTGGAATTCAGGTCCCTCCACCTCTGGCTCTTTGAAAAGTCTCTATTCCATTTCTAGCTCCATTCTGCTTTTTCTGTTCCTACTGTCAGATGGGACTGCAATTTCCTGGCCATCTGAGCACCAGACAAGATCGGCCCTTGTCAAAACTGCACAGCAAGCAGTCTCTAATTAGCAGTAGATCCATTTTCTCAGGGCTTCCTCTCCCCTCACCAGCGCACTTTGCTTCTTCCCTTTCTCTTCTCAGACCTTCTTCTGGCTCTTCAGTATTGTAGCTCAGAATGTGCTTTTAAAGGTGTTTGCAATTTCATATGATTTAAGTAAGCTTAACCCATGCAGTGATTTTCAAACTTTCTTTCTCGATCAGAACTCTTTCTTTAAATATAATGTCCTAAGTCCAAAATATAACACTAACCAAGGTATATTTGCTCTGTTAAAGAGGGGAGCATCCTGAGTCCAGAGCCCACTGGTTGATCCCTTGTCCCACCTTCTCCTCCTCGTGGCGTGGCGTTTGGAAACCACCCATCTACCAGAACAGAAGTTCTCATGGTGGAGCTTCTGACACGCGCCATATGACAGAGAAGAACTGGCATAAGTCGCTAGTCTTGGAGGTCCTGCTGGGCCCTGAAATCTTATCACAGAGGCCTCTCGGCCAGCGCAGAAAGCTGGCTTGGAACGAGGTCCCTCTGGGGACTTCAGTTTGTTGCTTCACTGGGAGATTTTGTGTCCCAGAGGAATCAACTCTTGCTCCCAATTTATACTTCAGTTCAAACGGGACAGGGGTCCCAGAAAGTAGGATGTGTGCCGCTATTGGTGTGCGAGGTGACTGTGGGAAACGTACGGACAGATATATTAAAACATATGTGAAAAGGTAACTCTGTTTTGGCAAATGATGCAAGTTTTTCATTTAAAGTTTTCATTTTATATAATTCTATCTAGGTTAAAATGAGAGCAAATTTAGAAAAAAGTATTAAGTAATAGTATAGGTTGTATGCAGACATAAATATCGTAAAGGAGGTATGCAAATGACTGAAATTTGAGGCTCTAAAATAAAACAATGTAGTAAAAGTATATTTATAAGTTAGTTATTTAGAGCCCCAAATATATTTTTCATGTTAATAGATTAATAGACTATAATTATGCACATTGCTGAATAGCTGTAAAAGATTTCATTCCCTAAGCCAGCTTCAAAAAGTTCATTGCAGTAGAATATATGATGGCAATGAAAAGCAATTAGAAAAAACAATACCGTTATAATAGTACCAGATAAACACTCCTGTAAAAATAGAAATCCTTGAAATATATAACTCAATTCTGCTGATGGAAGAAGAGAAATTTTGGTTAGTGAAGTTCGGTAGAGATGTGGTCAGAAATTTTGGTGGGATCTTCAGAGAATAACAATATTTTAGCACCTGGCAACTGATTTTCTCATTTCTAGTTTAATTTCAGAGCATCTGTCTTTCTGTATCCTAAATAACTATACTATGTGTATTATTCTTATTAGTCATGATCAGGGTAGTTTTTGGGCTCGCTCATGGACTGAAGAGAGGGAGAGGAAAAGAAATATTCCTGGATTAGTGGGCACGAAGTGGAAAACAGTGAGAAGTAAAGCAGGAGGTTAAAAGGAGGTGGGAAAAAGTGTGGGAACAAGATTGTCTGAAGTGGAACTGATTGGGCCATGAAAAACCTTGGAAAACAGGAATCATCAGTACTCTGGAGGGAAAAGAACAAGGGTGATAAAGACTAATGGGGAGCTCTCTTCTCTGGCCACAGGGGCAGGATTGGCACAGTACAGCCTGTGGCCAGTCTGGATCTGTGTAGGTGGATATATGTGGAAGAGAAGTCAGAGTGCACTGGAGCCCATGTGGACGGGCTTGCCGTGGCTCCTGAGAGCCTGCCATGTGCAACTCGTTTCAAACCCCTCTCCCCAAAACTCAGTGCACTCAAGTTGGTAGCTTGAAATCAGATGTGGTGGGAAGATTGGGAATATTTACACCACAGAAATTGGCAAATGCTACAGATGAAGCCTTTTGTCCCAGAAGAGCCTGTTAAAGATTTATCAGCAAACCACTGGACGTCCCTGGGCAAGTGGCCGTTTATATTTACATCTTTTAAAAGGCTTGAGCCCAAACTTGTTTGTCTCTCTTTCTTCATTTCTTTGTGAGCCAAGCACCCTGGGCTGATGAGCTAGCCCTCAAAAATTGTACTCTTAGAAGTCAAAGGAGTGCCTGTTTGTATGATTAAAGGAGATTTTGCTTGTTAAAGATGTATCATAAAGAGAAAGCCTCTCTGGCCTCAGGGTCTCAGCGTCCTTTCTCAGGGCACATGTGTAGGCCACAGCGTGAGCGCGTGAGCGTGGCTGCTGGCCTCTGACGTCCCCCGTCCCCACACAGTGCTTTTGATTCTCCCGTCAGCTCCCCCACTGAAGAACCACTGCTCTAATCAGTGTGCTGTGATATCTGACCTTCAAAAATTCCATCCCCATACTACTTCCCACAACTCCGTTTGGGGTGTAACGTACAAATGTACTTTAAGTGTACGGATGTACACATCACAAACTCCTGTGTGCAGTCAGCCCCCACAACCATCAAGTTCAACATAATAAAGTTGGGGAAATCCTGCTTTTGCTCAGCTAGGCAGGGCTGGCTGATTCACGGGAAGACCCTAGGCAAGCTACTTAGGTCTTAATTTCTTCTCTTATAAAGTAGGAGTAATAATGCTACCTCGCAGGGTTTTCTATGAGATGTCTAGTGAGTAGGACGATGCTTGGCATATTGAAACTCTTTACTAAATAGTGTATATTTTGAGTTCCCTTTAAGATGAACACAGAGCTTCATCCACATAAGCTAAGACTGTCTTCATCCACATACCTAAGACAGTCTGCTCTCATATGACAGCACCTTATTATTGGCCTGAGAAAGAACCAGCCTTTGTAAACCCTCCCTTCCAGTTCAGCTTGTTCAGTGGGCTTTTGCATCCCCCCTCAGTGTCTGTGCAGACATTAGTGCCTGATGCTACTGGTTTTCCTGCTTTCCCCTCTCAGTGACTACAAGATGACTCATGAAAGGAGCCTCTCTTTCCTTGACTGTGTTCAGAGGAAATGGTAGGAGATTCTCCTGGCGTTGGAAACCAGCAGAGCCTACCATAATCAGTCTGTACTATTTCTCTATTCCCTATGACTTCTCCTCCATAAAGAGCTCGATGAGATTCTTTATTAGCAAATGTTTATCAGAGACGTTATCATTCATGGAACGCCTGCTGTGGTGCAGGCCCTGTGCTGGCTGCATGTGAAGATGCTCTCTGTGCTACTTTCGGGCCTTCACAAGAACCCTTTAAATTAGTTACTGTTCAGCCTATTTTTGAGACTCAGAGAGGTCAAACGTGCCCAAGGTCATACAACAGGTGAGCGTCTGGGACGGCATTTGAAGGCAGATCTTTCTGACTCTAAAACGTGTCCTCGGCCATCTATTATATATTGCCTCGGAGACTTCAGCAGCAAGGGAATCAGCACACAGTCATGGAGGATATTCTACACACACAGCACCAGCCTGGGGCTGGGAGGGCCGAGAAGACATCCAGGTACAGGAATTTTGTAAGAGAGACTCCTCCGACCATTATCCTAGCTGTCAGGGGCTCTGCAGATTTCCATATCTCTGCACAAGAGCTAGAAAGTTCGTGGGGCCAGCCTTGTCTCTGCTCTCTCAGTTCAGGAAGGAATCGCAGCCATCACTTGGCACATCCTTCACTCCCCAGCCTCCAGGGCTCCACTCGGTGGGTGCGAACCTCAAGCAGGGCCGGTGACAGTCTCCACTTCCTTCCAGCTCTGACAGAGGCGCAGGACATCCACACACACCTGATGCCGCTCCACCGCCACCTGGAGGCCCTCGAGAGCGTGGAGTTCCCAGAGGTGAAGCCGCGGCTGCAGCCGCTGCTCCACGTGCTCTGTCTGATTTGGGCCACGTGCAAGTCCTACCGCTCCCCAGGGCGGCTCACTGTGCTGCTCCAGGAGATCTGCAACCTTCTCATCCAGCAGGTTGGCCACCCCAGGACCCCCAGCAACCTCTCCCTGGGGGCTTGGCACTGAGTCACAGCGAAGAGTGAAGTGTGCGTTTTTTCAGGGCGGGGAAATAGTTAGGGTCCAAAGGGTTCTCACACTTGAATTATTTTACTGTTGCAGCCAATAACTCACAAAGATGCCTTCAGTGTGGGAACACCTGGGAGGCCCAGTCTTCCTTTCCCCTCTGCCCAAGACTCTGGGTTGGGTGAAGGGTGAGGGTGGTGAATTTCAACCTCCTTAATGATGTGTGCTGATGGACTGACATTAAGTCAGCAGCAAAGCCCAGCCGTTAAGAATGCTGCCTCTGGGGTCAGGCATCCCTGTGCCAAATCCTGCTTCACCACTTGTTAGCTGTGTGTACCTGGGCAAGTCACTTACCTGCTCTGTGCCACACCTTGCCCCTCTGTGCAATGGTGAGAAGAAGAGGATTATCTCAAAGGGTTGCAGGGTGCCCCTGAGGCTCCCATGCAGTCACACTTGTCAAGGCTTACAGTGTGCCCGGCGCTTGCTAAGCACTCAGCGCCTGTGAGCTACAAAGAAGCAGCTTCTTGGATTACACGCTCCATGCTCCTCGCTCTTAGGGACTCATGGCGCCAAAGAGGGCAGCGTAAATCTCAAGGAGAGTGGGCCTGTGAACAGATTGGAAGTCTTAACAAGTTTTGGGTTATCTTCCCCCCAAATTGGGTTTCTTTTTCCTCTAAGCAGCTGCAACCCTGAGAAAACAATAAACACAATTAAAGAGTAATTATTAATAACTAACATCTGTGGAGCACATTGCAGGCTCCAAATTAGTGTGACGTTCACGGTCCTGGTCATTTTCAGGTGAACCCTGAGAGGTGAGCAGACAGAGCCTTGTTAGCTTATTATTATTTAAAGATGTGGGCTAAGGCTCAGGGAGGTTAACTGAGTTGCCAAAGGCCACCCGACCTGGAACTGGAAGCCGGGTTGTTTGACTCCTGGACCAGCACTTTCCATCACTCCATGTTTGTCCGCCAGGACTCTTGATTGAAAAAAAGATTTGATTTGAAGAAAAACCAACCAAAACTGGCATCAACAAAAAGATAATTTATTAGTTATGTACCTCAAAAGTCCAAGATAAGGCCGGCTTCAGCCCTGGCTTACAATAAGGCCTTACATGACGTCACCAGGACCCAGTTATTTCTGCCCCCGCCTCTCGTGGTGAAGATGGCTGTCCCACAGCTTCAGCTTCACAGCTTTCCAGGTTCAGGTCCCTTGGAAACAGGGAAATAATTACGGTCCAAAGAATTCTGGCGCTTGAATTATTTTACTATAGAAAGCCAGTAAGTCACAAAAGAACACCTGCCCCAGCCCCAACTGACCCCCAAAATTCTCACTCTGTTTCCTTGTCTCTCATTGGTCACTGGCACATCCCTGAGTCCATCACTGACTATCTGGCCTGAACCCAGGTCCCAGTCCACTGTGGAGCTGAGGATGGGGTCAGATGTTTCCTATATTATGCTTCTAGAAAATATTACTTGGGCAATTATTTGGTTCAGAGTTGATGTGGGCAAAGTTGTGGGGTGTCCCGCACCCACAGCCAGGCTTAGTAACACTAATCTGTTTGCATTCCAGGCCTCTAATTACCTCAGCCCAGAAGACCTCCTGAGAAGTGAGGTAGAAGAAAGTCCGAGAAAACTGCAAGTGGTCATGGACACCTTGAACACCTTCAAGCAGATGTTTCAGGACAGAAGGGAGAATCTTCATACTTACTTCAAAGAGAACCAGGAGGTCAGAGAGTGGGATTTCCAGTCTTCTTTGGTCTTTGTGCGATTGGATGGCTTCCTGGGGCGATTGCACATGGTGGAGGTGAGTGTGTTCATTCCCCTCAGACTCCCAGCTCCACACAGGAGTAAGCAATCTGGGGATCCAAAAAGCAAAATAAGAAAATGAACAACACAACATGGTGGCCAACCCTCGATTCGTTGGAAGAACCCATAATAAGATTCAATAAATATTTGGATTGATTGGTTGGATTGATCATCACGTAATGGTGGTTCTATTAGAAGTTTAGGAAATTCTGATCATAGACCCATGTAGGAAGAAAGCCCAAGGAATCAGTCCACTAATTCAGTTGGTTTTCAAATTGCCCATGGTCTTCGAACTTTATTTCAGATAAGCTTTTGCTAGAAATTCCGATGTGCAAAATTAAAGTGAGCTGATCTGGCTGCAGCTGGCCATTCCCACAAAGCCTCTGCTTTGAAATTCTCCTCCACTCTCCCATCCTCAACTGGCTCCAAAACTATAAAACTAGTGAATCCCTGTGCAAAAGAAATATGACTTTTGCTCAAAGTTGTGTCTTTTCCCCAATTATTTAAAAGTTAATGCAAATGTTAGTTAAAGGCCCAGGGTGAGAAGACAGGAAGCTTTTTCTTTTGATTGTTTTCATCCATTGAATATTACGTGGTTAACAGGTCTATATTTGTGGATTGAACTTTGCGGGGAGGGCACTTGGCATAATAAAATGAAGTACATATTTATCCTAAAGCTTATTTGAGAAATTTGGGGTCAGGTTCAAGGTTAGGGTAATAGCCAAGGGGATCAAGAAGGAATTAGAATCATATTTCTAGCTATTATCAGCAGAGATTTGAGATGAAGAGAGGAAATATGTTGGGAAGAGGCTGTGATAAGTGGGACAAACCATGGGATTATGAGGGTAAGAGAGTATGAGACTAAATCTGTTCATTTCAGTTCAAAAAGCACTGATCACAGTCATGTGCTAGGCACTGAGTGAGGTACTGCAGATACAACGATGATTGAAATATGGTTTTGCCTGTGTCAAAAACCAAACTCTGAATGTTGAATAAGGCAAAGCAGAAAGATGCATTTATTGCAAGGCTTTCAACCTGTAAGTCAGGAAACTCAAGGCTACAGGAGCAATGAGTTCTCTGTTGCTCACAGACTGAGGGATTTTTATGGGGTAAATACGGAAGTCATTTGGCTTTTTCAGAAGATTGGTTGTCTAGTGGTCTTCTTTCTTGTTTGGATCAGGGTAGCTGAGTCGGGAACAGGAAGCCCAGAGATGTTATGAACAGACTTGGCGTTTGGGGATTGGCTTGAGTCCCAGAAGAGCTGTAAATTCCTGTAAGGTTAGGTTGAGTTTCCTCCATGCACCTGCGTTGACCTTCTCCATTTTGTCCCTGACATAAGTGATTCCATTTTGGTTTGGTTCTACACCTGTAAGACGCTCATGGGCTGGTAGCAAGAGAAGGTAGACAGACTAATGGAACAGATCCAGGGATGGAAACACACAGAATCAGGAAACATCTTTGAGGTGTATTAAATGCCATGATAAAAGAGAAATTGGTGTGTTTTGAGGAGCAAGAAAGAGGGGTCCCTGACCCAGAGGGGCTCTGAGAAAGTGAGGTGCCCAAGAGGAAATAAATTTCGAAACTGGAGTAGGAATTCGCCAGGAAAAGAAACTGGGGAAGGGCATAAGACAGAGAAAGTGTATAAGCAAGAAAGCCAGAAGCTAGGTCTTGTGACAAGCACACCTCAAGTCCTTCACTAGAATCACGGAGAGTGGAAATAATTGATATCTAGCTTCATCCTCCATGCCTCCCTTTTCCACTGCAGCTCTTGATGGGCACCCTCTCCTCTCCTCCCCTTCCACCCTATCCTTATGTCCCACATCCATCTCTTCACTGTTGTTTAACCAGGTGACAGACACTCCTGCTCCAACCTGCCCCTGCCTGGCTGACCACGGGGGAACAGCTGCCATGACGGCCTTGCAGGCTCTCCAGCCCTGTGGACGGCCCTGGCCTCAGAGCAGAAGCAGAGCCCAGTTCAGAAATGACTGTTGGGCTGGGGCCTCAGGCCCTGTGCACACAGGCTGATGATGTGACTTTGCATATAGACAGCTATTCTAACGTTAGGGCCCGTAGTCTGCTGGGTATATTCAGTAAATACAAGCGGCAAAGGCCACCGGTCTCCCCAGAGTCATTACCCTCACAATAGTCAGCTCTCAGGCTGCTTTTCCTTTCGGAATCAAGGGCACAGATGCACAAAAAGCAGTTGCCCCAGATTAATTAGAGGATGACTTGAATGTCACCATGCTCTCATCTTCCTGCTTCTTCTCCTCTTAAGCTTTCTGTCCTTTGCTCTGATTTACCTCTTTGCTCTTAGGCCAAACTCCACATTTCTTCTCTCTGCTGCTTTTCTCTCTTCCCTCCTTTCCCTCTTCCTTTCCTTTCCACTTGGCTCCCTTCCCTTTTCTATTCCTCTCTCTTGTTCTTCTTATCTGTTTGTTCTCCCTGAATTCCACGATTTTCCATTTTCACATGGCTTCTCCTTTCCTCTGTCCTGGTCTTTCCTCCCCTCGTTTTTTTCTCATCTCCCAAACATTTGCTCAGACTCATCTCCTTGCGCTCTGGCTCCCCCATCTCTCCGCTCCTCAGCGCAGAGCAGCGCAGCTGGACACGGGACTATCGATCGTCTCTGCGCATATTTCATGTAGCCCTTTAGTTAACATTCTGTGTATCCCTGTGATGGATGCCTGTTTGAAATGGGATTAATTTGCTTCTCTCCAGCAAGAATTAGCATGAGCCTAGCCTTATTCATCTTGCTGTTCTAATGCAATATTCAGCCACTGAGACATGGGTAGTTGCAATTAATAAATACATGAAGCCAAGTTAATAAAATGACATCAGTGCATTTACCCTTCTCCGTGATCACGTCCAGGGTATATTGCAAAGGGCTGATTTTTAATATTCACAATTCTCTCAGGATTGTTTCCTCTGATTTGTGTGGCTTTATTTGCTCTTTCGCTCTTGCTCTTTGGCACAAGAAACTTTTATTGTGAAGATCTGCTCTTCCCCTCTGGGCGCCTGCTGAAATGCAGCTGGGGGCGGGGCTGTTTGGCAGCATCAGCATTCCACCCTCCTCCTCCTCACAGCCATAATCCACTGATCTCTCAGAGAGTTAACCCTTGCGAGGGAATGGAGGAAAAGAAAAATGAAGAAGTAACAGTTGTCCTAACAGCTAGGTATCAACGCTCTTACTTTAACAAATGAGCACAATTAAGCGTGACACAGAAATTAACTTGCCCAGAGCCACGCAGCTCAGGCAGGTTTAGCTGGGATTTGTACCCCGGGGCGGATGGTTCCAAGCATCGTCTTTCCACCAAAGTTGGATTTGTCCCAGGGAGTTCAAAAAGCCCATTTCCCTCCGTCTCCCTCCTGCTTCCCTCCCTCCGTTTTCAGGATCCCAAACTGGTTTTGTGGTTTTATTCTTCCCTTATATATTCTGCCTTTGCATACTCTATTTTTACAGTATGATTTCTAGGTCTTTTAATCTAAAGTCGTTTGGGTAAAATTATAATTCCCATTCCATGAAAGGGCCTTACTTGACTTTATGACTGACTAAGGAAATCCCAAAAGTGTATGAAGTCTTTGCAATTTGAACGAATAGTCAAAAATCAAAGGGGAAAAGAATCATTCAGCTGCCTCTTTATTTTTCCCCTCACTCTGCCTTCCTGCTCAATTCTCCAGCACTCACACACTCCACACACACGTACTCCACATACCACACACACCACACATATGCACACACCGCATATGCACCAACACACCACACACATCCTGCACATACCAAACATGTGCACCACACACACATAGTGCACATATGCACACCACACACGCTATACACATATACCACACGTACACACTACACACACAATACACACACACCACCACATACATACCACAAACACCACCCCGCTACACACACCCCACACACCACACACACACACATACACACATTCACTGCACACATGTACACAACACCACACACATCATACACACCCCACAAACACACATCCCACACAAATACCCACACACACTGCACATATACACACAATGCTACACACACACCGCACACATATACACATACCCCATACACCACCACCCACACATACGCACACACACAGAGTTCATTTTTGTGCCATGATGTTGTAGATTCTGCATACCCCTTGTTTATAGCTCTGCCCGCAGCCTCTCCCCTCCGAACAATGCAGTAAGTAAGCAGCTTGGAGAGAACCCTCCTCTCTTTCATTATAAAATTGCTGTGAAGCTGTGATTCACTTGGAGACAAAATGATTTCCTGCTGAGGCTTTATGCGAGGTGATTAGCAGGGAGATAGGTAATAAGCTGACCTAATACACACCGCATCCTCTTTGCTCTTTCCACCATCTCCAGCCACTCCGCCACCTCCTTTCATTCAGGCCTAATTGGGCCAGCTTCCCTTGTAGCCCGGCCTGAGCGTGCGGTCACGAAGGAGACCATTAGCTGCTTAAGGTCCGCCACTGTAGAAAGGTAAAGAAAACGGTCTTTTTCCCAATGACCTTTTGAGATTTTCATCTATGAATGTCTGCTTTGTGCTCTCCCGTAATGAATTCTGAAGACATTTCTTTTAAGATGGGCAGCATGACCTCTCCTTCAAGAACAGGCTTGTGTTTGTGGGACTTGCCATTATCCCCAATTTTGATTCTCCACTTCTTGGGCCACAGCACAAATGGAACACTCTCCCACTGCCCCACTGAAGGTTGCACAGGTTTTCATAAGAATAGGACACAGTCGGTCCTGTCAGCTGCCTGGGCCCCCATGCTCTTTGTGGCATCCTTCTGGAAAGGAGCCCATGTATATCAGCCGTCATACATCTCTTATCCACCACCCTGATCAAATGATGTCAGGGTGATGATAATTAATTGCCGTGGCTACCATTTATACTTCCCTTGTAAGTAGGTAACCTCACTGCAAATCAGGCATTAGCAAACCCATTTGCAGGTTAGGAAAATGAGGTTTAGCAAAGTCAAGTGTCTTACTTTAAGTGACTTGCCTAGTAAATGGCAGATCAGGATGGTGTGAACCCAGGAATTTTGGACCCTTGATCCTAGGCTCTTTCCATAATGCCTGTATCCCTCAAGTTGATATCTTCAACCTCTCTATAGACTAATGAATTTAATGTGTTTACTACTGTGATGAATAAAAATGGATATTTAAAAAATATCATTTAAACCTCTTATTGGTTTAAATTGCCTTGTATCTGTTTCGTGAGGACTTCTAAATAAACAGTGAAAAGAGCTTACATTTAAATATTTTAAGAATCAAAGTTATAGTCATGGTCATTATGATAAATCTGTTTCTACAGTTGCAAGACAATTTCCCAACTGATTCAGGAATCTTTTCTACAATACCTCTGATGTCAAACTTCTACTAAATTCATCCAGAGACGGAGAGCTCACTACCTCTCTTAGCAGCCCATTCTGTGGTTGGGCATTTCTGATCATTAGACGGTTCTCTTTTATTAAGTGGAAACACATGAAATTGCCATTTCTTGTAGGTCAAAATGGTCAAATATAAGCAATTTCTTAAGTTCAACCTACAAGTTGAGGCCAAGTCTGCTCTTTGTTCCGTTCACTCGTTTGCCTCAGCTCTGCCCTCAGAGTAAGACCCTGCAAGGTGTGCCTTGCCCTTGACCGAGGCCCTTCAAACATTCAAAGGCACAGTTGAATTATAAGAATTCAATTATAAGTTGCCTTATAATTCTCTTTTCTCATCTAATTTTTCTTGTTTTCACCTATTGCTCCTGAGTCCATGATTCCTAGATTCTCTATCACCCTGTGGCCTGGAGGTACTGTAGCTAAGTCAAAGGTCAAAGATCATATATTCACTCATTCAACAAATGTTTGTCAGCATCTGGCACTCTTCCAGAGACTGAAGATACAGTAATACCTCTGAGGCATTTACAACCTACTGGGAAAGATGGACAGAAAAGAAACAATAATACAATATAGTGCCACATACTATATTATAGTGCTGGAGCGTGATTAGAACTCTGAAGAAAGCTTATGCAGGGTAAGGGGACAGAGAGCACAGGAGAAGGGTGGGGTGGGCAGAGCTCTTATTAAAAAAGGGAGGTAAGGGAAGTTCTAAGATCTTGAATTGAACCCCAAATAAATGTGTGGCCCATCATGTTTAAGTAAAGCAATGTAAATATCCATTATTTTTGGTGACCAGAGTTTCTCCAAAAATAGAATGATTAAGTAAATATTTCTCTAAACCTATGATTTAGATTGGAGATGCAGCACCTTCTAGTGCCCACCCAAGACCATGCTTCACGTATGCCCAAGAAATACAATAGTGTAACAAAATGATCATCTGGTTTTCTGATGTAACCAAACGTATCACGATGCATCTGTCCTTTAAAATGGTTAGAGAATATTTCCTAGAAATTGAAATTGATATCCATGGAATTATGAAAAATGGGTACCCAGGTGACTTTCCACAGCACAAATATGTTTCTCCTATAACACTGCTTATGACTAAGCCCCGTTGGAATGATTGGAATTACTATTTAAGTCAATTTCATTTAAATCAAATTCATTTCTGTTTTCCTCCTAGTATATAAAGTTGAATGTATTTTTAAATAAAGACCACTCCCTTTCCCCCTATCGGTGGCAAGACCCTCCTGGTTTTGGTGTATGTCTTCCTTTCCTTGGCTGGTTCTTGTCTCTTCTCTCCTCTCCTGCTTCAGTTCCTGGCTGACAGCCCTGCCTGAACATAGCTGAGCAAAGGATTGTTAGGTGGCTGCCCAAGGCTGCACGGGTGCCCTGCTGGCAACTCAGGGAAAGTCAGCCACTTCTCAGCACTTCCCAGCGCCTCTGTCACTGCTGCTGGACTCAGTGTTCCAGTGAAAGAAAGGAATCAGGCAGCCTTCTGCTAGCCTGATGAGTCAACCCATAGCAGTGGCCACTGGCAGCGGAAATTTCCTGGAGTGGAACCAGGACCCGCTGGGTTTTCAGCGTCATGATACAGTGTTCCCTCTTCTTGCCCTTCAAACTTGCTCAGGGTAGACCCCCCTCCCAGGGGTCCACATCAAATGTTTGCCAAAATCACACAAAGGTAACTGTCACCCCCGTCTCTTCTGTAGAAGAAGTATGCACATAGATTGAAAGTTGTAACAGAAGAACATCTTGGTTTGGAGGTTTTGTGATTTTAGATGGGTATTTCATGAGAGAGAAATACAATCTGTCATGTTAGGCGTGTTCTGGAGGCTCCTGTCCCGTCAGAGGTGAAGCAGCTTCCATGGAGTCAGGAGGGGCTCCTCCCGGAGCTATGGGTTGCATTGTCCCCCTGTCACTTAATTCTGAGCACAGCTGGCACACTTCCATGTCAACAACAGTGACAGTAATACACACTTACTGCGTATTTACTGTGTGCCAGGCGCTGGCCTAAATCCTAAGGCTGCACTGACTTAACTCTCACTCTTGTTATCCTGTTACAGATGAACAAACCCAGCACAGAGATGTCAAGTAATTGTCCACTGTCACCCAGCTGGCCGCATGGGGTACCGTGTTGTGTACACTTGGCAAGGGCATCCCTCAGATTTCTTTTCTTGACAGAAGTAGTTGCCGAGAATGTTGGTGTCACCCTCTGGGCTTGTCTTCGAGGCTACTTGGAGGGTCCACTTTCCTCTCAATATCCTCTAAGACAGCTGTCATTCTAGAAGCAGATGACATGGTCCATTTGTAATTGATCTTTTAAAATGGGTAATAAACTCACCAATCATGTAAATAATGTTATTATGACTATATGTTATTATTTATTAGATAACACAGAAAGAGACTGAAGCATAAATTTGATTTTTGTGTGTGAATTTTATTTATTAGAACTTTCTCTTTGCTTTGTTAAGTTTAGCCAAGAGTTATTTATACCAACCCAATCTAATAATGTTACAAAACTAATCAAGCTTCACATTTTCCTAAGCAACCACCACCCCCATATGATTCCCAGCAATTCCCATACTGATTTGAGCATCATCCACTGTTATCATCATTTTAACTCTTTTGTGAATTATCCTTTGTAGGATCTTCTGAAGACAACTTTGGATTTCCACAAGCTGGGAAAGCTTGAGTTTAGTGGCATCAGAGGGAATGCCCTGAGTCAACAGGCCCAGCAAATGTACCACGAGTTTCAAGAGATGTACAGAGTCTTCCTGGAGTCTTCCTGTGACTGCTTGGACCCCCAAATCACGGTAGGCCTTAGAAGGGCTGACTTGCAAGCTCTGTCTCTCTCAGATGCCTGCAGCCTGTGGGGTCTGGGTATTTACTTGCATTTTCCTTATAATTTCCTTTGGCTCTGTGGTCCCAGTGGTTTTATCAAGAGACGCCACTCCTAATTATTCTTTATATCAAGTGAAAGATCAGGGAGGGCCCTCCAACTACTGACTTCTCCAGACTGATGATACTTAGGGTTTCAGAGACACCAACATGGGTATGGGATGATGGTGGAGGCTGTGGCCGCCCTGCAGCTTCCAAACCTTAAGCTTTGAGCAAGGATGGCTGTGTGAAGGCTAGGCACCCCTGGGCAGAATTTGATTGGTGGCTTGGGGAGGGGTAGGTGAAGCAGTAGCCTCGTTTTTCTGATCTGACCTTGGTTCCCAGGGGAGTACTCAGAATGAGGAAAGGGCCAGAGATGCATTTTCCAAGACTGAGACACAAGAGCCCATGTCTCACTTATGGCCCAGGAAAGCTGAGACTTGTGAGTCCAAGCCCACAGGAGACAGAAAGAAGAAAAAGGCCCAGCACAGAAACAGGGGATGGAATTCCCTGAGAAGGGAATAGCCGAGTTACTGGGGAAGGAATTTTAAGAGTACATAAGGGGAAAGGAGAAAGAAATTAGAGCAGGAACCTGCTCTGAACACCTTCAGACATGTCGGGAGATCTTAGTTGGCCCAACCCAGGGAGATATGACTGCTTAAAAATTTCATTCACCAAAAATAGGAAAAAAAGATGGACTACAAAGCAAGATACATACCATGTGTTTGTTACTGTATGATAACACAAAACAAAACAAAACCCTATGTGTAGGAAACGCTACAATGTTAATGTGGCTGGGTTTCGGAAGCAGGACAGTGCTATTTTTCTACTTTTCTTTGTGTCTTCATAAGAATGTGCATGTGTAAAGCAATAATGACAAATAATTCCATAAATTAAAGACTTGAGTTAACAAATTTTTTTTTGAAAATTGCTACATTTTAAGAAGGAGAACACACTTTGAGTGCCAGATAAAACATAAAAATTGGGACATAAACTAAAAAAATTTATCGTTTATCTGAAATTTAAATTTAACTGGGTGTCCTATATTTTTGTTCGCTAAATTTGGCAATCTTAGGAACAATGGTTAGCTGCTGTCTTAACCAATTAAAGTGTACTTAGAAGAAATAATGTGTTAGTTTAATTAGCTTACTTTCTTCCTAATGGCTAGATTAGTTTGGTTACACTGAAAAAATAGGATTTTGACTTGGGGAGGAAGGAAAATAGGTGGTAATGATGGAATAGCCCCATTGCTGGACCTGTCACTGCTGAGGTGGCTTTCAGTGGTGGCATGAACTGGCACAGTTGGTGAGAGGGAAGGGGCTTCAGGAGGTGGAAGAGGGGCCACAGAAAGGGAGGTGGCAGGATGCCAACCTTGCTGTTGACTCACTCTACCATTTTGCCTAGGGTGTCTAGGAAAAAAATGCTGCAACAATAGGGTAACTTTGTATATGGGTAAAAACTAAGTCAGGCCAAGGTGGATTTTGGGGAATTAAAATAAATCCTTGGTATGACCGACTCAAGTACAAAGATTAGTAGTAAAGAGCACAGGGCAACTGGCTTTCAGAAAATCATGTTTTTCTTAAGTCTATGTGATGTCTCTTTAGGAATTTGAAAATGATGTCTCTGAATTTAACCAGAAAGTAGGAGATCTTGACCGAAGACTGGGGACTGTCTTTATTCAAGCCTTTGATGATGCGCCTGGTTTGGAGCATGCCTTTAAGGTTTGTACGAGTAGGAGTGACCCCTGTGCTCGGTTCCCCCTTCACCCTCATCAGAGGAGGGAAGGACAGTCTTCCAACTGTTTGGGTCCTGCAGATATTAATTGTTCTTATTCGTCTAGTAGAGAGGCATTGTGAGTGTCCTAGGGCAAGGGGGTGTGCAGAACAGGGCTTCTCAGGTTGATTCGTAACGCTTTTCTGAAAACATGACGATGGAAAAATACTTTTCAAAAGAGTTTTTTCTCAAATGCTCTCTTTGGGCCCAATCAGTAGGGTACTCATTAAAAGTGAAGAAGTCTACTGTGGTCACCATTCTGAAACCATGCCTCTGCAGTATCATGGCTGTTTAGCCATTGCTGATGGGTTGATTCAACCAGCTACCAGGTAATTGGTTATAGGACTCAAGTATAAGTAACTAGAATAAGAAGACTTGTACCTTTGCACTATATTGCCCAGATCAGATGGTACGAGAATGTGGAAGAGAAGGTTTAAGATAATGAGTAGATAAATGGCTACACAGCTGAGAATTCAGAGTGTTGAGACATGAAGACTTAGAAGAATATGATAGCTTTTCTATAAACTATGAAGAGATTTATTCTGTAAAGCCTTAAGGATTAGAACCAGGACTGATCAGTGGAAGTTACAAGGAGGCAGATTTTGGCTCAATAGAAGAAAGAGATTTCTGTCAAAGCTAGTTAAAGATGGAGTGCACTTCTTGAGAAGTAGTTAAGTTTCCAGTCACTGAAAAAGTCCAAACATAGACTGGATGGCTGGTGGGCCAATTGTAGAAGAAGCTTAAATGCAGGATGAGTGCATCTATGCTATTCTAGAATACTGGGTAACCCATATTGCCAGGCTTCATTAGCCACTGAATAATTGAAAAAAAAATATGTACCTTTATCATCTTTAATAAATACCTGCCGTTCCGTAACTCACATAGGAAGACTATAGGATTTCCTTCTCGAAGCATTTGAACTAATTCCCAAAATTAGTTCCAGAATTACTTCTCTCTGAAACTTTTTTCTTGCTCCCATTCTCGAATTTTAGCCTTCTAAATTCTCCTCAACATGGAATGCACTTAGCTTCTTTTTTTCTTTTCCTCCTTCACCCCTCTTCTTTGCTTTAGGTCTGTTTTTTGTAGATTAGCTTAACCTTTCTGACATGTTTAGCTTTCTCTTTGTTTTACTCTTTATCTGGATTCTTAGAACACAAGAAGATCTGGTAGGTAATTCAGCAGACAGGAATCCTTCTCCTTTAGAATCAAAGGAGAGAAAGACAGACTATGAATATCCACCTATTAATAATTATTGATACAATTGCACAATAACAATTTTTTCACCCTTTTACATTGGTAGACATATGAAAGAAAAGTCAAGAAATAAGATTTATGTGTCCTTGGAAAGGTTGAATCTGTGACTTTTTCCTCTTCTTTCTCTGCCTCCTCCACAGTTGCTAGACGTAGCAGGAAACCTCCTTGAAAGACCACTGGTAGCGCAAGATGCATCTGATAAATACCTGGTGCTCATCCAAATGTTCAACCAAGATCTGGATACAGTGAGGATAATCTATAGTCAGCGTGTCCAAGAGGAGGCAGAGCTTGGTAGGCTTGTTGCCAAGGGGTTTGGATGGGGAGTTCTGTTACTAAGGGTGCAACTTATTCCTCTTGTGTTTGTTAAATGTCCACTGTGGGTTTATGACATTCCCCAAGAAAAGCAAGCACAACCTTCTTGCTTGAAATTCCAGGCCATCTTGGGTGATTGTAGAATTTGCTGAACTGTGCAATTCCCTGTATCAGGGGGCTGAGATTGGCAGGCTGTCCCAGAGCAGTGAAGTCTTGACTGTGTCTGGTCAATTGAGACCTCAGCATAATGTATGAGTTGACCCTTGATCGATGTTGCCATGCTGATTAATCTTCAACACACCTCAATTCCACACTAGATTTTTACATGCCTGAGAAAAGCTTCTGATCCCTTCTAATGCCATGGCAACCAGGCTTCTAGAGGGAGGAAGCTGCAGGAGCCTGACAAAGGGTGGTACCATGCCGAAGCGTGGTGTCTCCGTTTTTGTTGCAATTCTTCGATGCCCTGTCTTATCTGTTTGAAAGTCAAACACAAGTTCAATTCAGCTTTATAAACACATTTTGAGTCCTTGCTATTTGCAGGACACATTTGTGGAACTGTATGCAGAGGCAGGCCAGCATGAGGGATACAGTAATTAGTACTAAAATGTGGTTCTTCAAGGAATACGCCAGGTATGAAGGACAGAGTTAACAATAACACATGGCAGAGTACAAGTAGTGCTTGCCTTGAGTTATGAAGAATGGTAACAAAACAAGATGAATTGGGCTGGGAGATTCGAGGGTGAGTTGTGGAGAAGGTGGCCTTGAGCCGAGCCTTGAAAGGTGGGAGGACTGACAGCCAGGGAAAAGAGGCAAAGACAGGAGAATATGTGGACCAGTCGACCTGCCCGTAGCAGAATAAGGTGTATAGGGGGAGATCAGGTCAGCCATGGAGTTCGGGGCCAGATTGTGAAGTGCTCTGAGTACATACTAAGGAATCTGGAATTCACTATTCAGGCACTGGGAAATTTTTGAGGGTTTTTAAGTAACAGAGTAGCAGGACCATTATGTCTATAAACAGGTCTCATAGTGAGGTCACTGAGAATTGCTTCCACTTAGGAAGTCATGGCCAGAAAATCTGTTGGCCTCAGCTCTATGTGGGACCATCCTCATGACTTCTTCCAGTCAGATACAGAGTTTGAAACCTCAGATAGCTTCAGAGGCCATATTAGTTCACTCCATAAGAAATTATTGCAACCTTAGTGGCTAAAATAACACCCATCTTTTAGCTGACAGGTCTGTAGGTCAGAAGCCCAGCTGGGTGTGCCTGGCTCTCAGAGTACCACCGGGCTGAAATCAAGGTGTCAGCTGGGCTGGGTGCGCATCTGGAGGCTCTAGGGGAAAAATCCACTTCCAAGCTCATTTCTGTTGGTAGAATACAGGTCCTTGTAACCGTAGGACTGAGTTCTCCATTTCCTTGTTGTCTGCCAGCTGGAAGACACTCAGCAACTAGAAGCCCCTCCTGTTTCTTGCCATGTGGCAGGGCTGTGTAGCTGCCTCCATCTTCAAGCCAGTAACGGCACATTGAATCCTTCTCACGCTTCAGAGCCCTGACTTCCCCTTCTGCCACCAACCAGATAAAACTCTGCTTTTAAAAGGCTCATCTGATTAAGGCAGGCCCACCCAGGATCATCTCCCTTTTGCCATATAACATAACATTATCCTGGGAGCGATATCTCATCATATTTACAGTTTCCACCTACACTTAAAGAGGAGAGGATTATGCAAGGTTGAGGGTCATTAAGTGTCATCTTAGAATTTTGCCTACCATGGAGGCCACGCAGAAAATGGTGGTAACAGATCTGGGCTGAGCGTAAGACATTAGGGAGTGGTGGGGTCCATGGTAAACTAAAATAAGAGACCACTATTCAGCTCTAGTTGCTAGTTAGAAGTGGCAGCTGATTGTTGCCAGGTGTCACAATTTTCCCAAAGAAGGTAGAAACTGAGATTTAAAAAAAAAATGAAATCTCATAATTGTTAAATCTTGACAACTAAGTATAAGCAAAGTAAGAATATCCAAGCTGTGCTAACTCTGGTCGAGTGCTTCATAATGCACATGGCCTGTCTCATTCCTAATCTTCCTGAATTCTCACAGAAACCCTGGAAGTGAAGCAGGAAAGATATTATTCCCATTTTATGGGTGAAAACACTGAGGCCTGGAAGATTAAGTTGTCTGTTTAAGACAGTTTCTCAAGCCTGACCATACAATTGGAATCATCTCGAGAGCTGTTTAATAATACAGATGACTGGGCCCCATCCAGACCAGTTAAATCAGAATGGCTTGGGCAGAGCCCAGGCATCAGTAGTTTTTAAAGAGCCTCAGGTAATGCAGACATGGAGCCAGGTAGAAAGTCACCGATGTGAAGTCAGAAAGCCAGTAAGTGGGAGGGCTGGGCTGGGAACCCCTGTCCTCTGACCCTGTTTGCTGTTCTCCCTGAGGCCACTCTTCCTTACTCCTGAGCAGAACACGGTGACCTCCAGGAACGCCCATCTCTCTGTGAGCACAGGGTGACTTTAGCGTGTGGAAATAGATGAGGCAAAAGTGGGACAGGTGGCGGGAGGTGTTCCTGAGCAGAGCGGGGCTGGGAGGCCAGAGTCTCCCTTCATTCTGGCTGTGTGTGTCCCCAGGCTTCTCCTCGGTGCACAAGAACATGCCAGCTGTGGCCGGGGGTCTCCGCTGGGCGCAGGAGCTGAGGCAGCGCATCCAGGGTCCCTTCGACAACTTCAGACGCATGACACATCCGTGAGTATCTTATTCCTAAAAGGCATGTTCCTTTAGGTTTCTGCTCTGGCTCTGGATTTTGAATCTTGTAGAAATACAACTGGCTTACCTGAGGCATGAAAATCATCTTCATTTCTTTCCATTTCTGGCAATTGACCAACGTCTTAGCCCATTTGGACTGCTATAACAGAGTACCATAGACTGGGTGGCTTAGAAACATCAGAAATTCATTTCTCATGGTCCTGGAGGCTGGGAAGTCCAAGAAGAAGGTGCCGACAGATTTGGTGTCTGGTGAGAGCGCACTTCCTGGTTCATAGACGGCCGTCTTCTCTGTGTCCTCACATGGCAGAGGGGTGAGGGAGCTCTGTGGAGCCTCTTCTTATAAGGCACTAATCCATTGATGAGCGCTCCACCCTCATCACCTAATCACCTGCCAAAGACCTCACCTCCTAGTACCATCCATTGGGGGTTACGATTTAACACATGAATTTTACGTTCGTATGGGTCACAAACATTCAGTCCATAGCAACCTCATCCCTATTGGCCAAGCAGTAATGAGACTGATATATTTGGTGCTAAATGAGGCTTAATGGACAACAGGCTGACTCCTTTTGCTACATGAGATTCACTTCCGGAGGAAAGTGAGTCAGGATTTTCACGCTCTTTGGAGGTCTTCCACACACCTCCTGACAGTGTCTCTTTACGAGGCTGCTGGGAAACAGTGGAGCCTGGTGTTTCCTAAAGCATGGTGTAAGCACCTTGTGAATTATTATACCCTGGGTCCTTGTTAAAATGCAGATTCCCAGGCCCCACCCCTCACCTACTGAACCCCACTCTCAGGGCTGGGTGGGGCCTGGGAATCTGCTTCCTCAGCAAGCTCCCCCTGCGATTCTGGTGGTGACCAGATTTGGAAACCATTGTCCTACTGTACAGCTGAGGCTGGAAGCCAAGCTGTCGAGAGCATCTAGGCTGCTACAAGTGAGAGAAGAGCTGTTTGTGATGTCCTGTTCCGGATGCTGCCTGGGGAAGGGCAGTCTTCCCCAACCACTCTTTCTGAAGACTCAATCTTATTGAAAGCACCTGCTGGGGCAAACACAACAGAAACAAAGGAATTGGGGTCTGGACATTGGCATCAAAGGTTGTTTGGCGCAAGGAAGGGCTTTAGAGACCCTCTGGCCCAGGTGGCAAGACAAGGCTTTCAGAGGCCGGGGAGATGATGCGAGACAGCCAGGATGGGGTCTGAAGGGGGCCACCACCACTCCATTCAGTGTTGCCAAGCAGAAAAGCAGGCTCACGGTGAGCAGTCTCCTGACTGTTGGAGAGAAGCTGAAAATCTGAATTTGTGCATGAAACACTCACCTTTAAAATTAGCAAGCGTTCCACTTTTTCTCAAACTCTGCACGGACCAGACAAACATGCCTGTAGTTCAGGTCCACCCAGTGGGTGGTCCGTTCATAGCCTCTGCTCTGCCTGAGGGAGCTCTTTGTTTTGCAGATGAAGAAACTGAGGCAAATAGAAATGAGATGACATGTCTGAAGTCCCAGAGAGAGCCAAGGAAAGAACTGGAATAAGCGTCTGCGTCTCAGGGCTCCTAGCCCAGAGCTCTTTCTGGGCAGCCCCCAGCTTAGCCAGGAGTACAGCTGAGCCCTCGTCTTCTCAAATATGCTCCCAAGGCAGGAGGGAGAAGATATGTGAACAGGAGGGGAGGGGTGGCAGGGCTGCTTCTAGAAATGTGGACTGCAGTAGCTGTCCTAGGTCCGGTTCCCTACAGGAAGCCCCTGAGATATGTGTGCAGGATTTATAGGGGTGCTCTTGGGAAGAGCACCTGTGAGAGAATGGGGGGATGGGATTGGGCAGGAGACTGAGCTGCGGTATAGTTCCGATGGTGGCCTCAGCGCATCCAGCCCATCCAATGGTTCTTCAGGGTTGTTCTGCCTTTGTGCCCTGACATCAGCTGGCCATTGGATGTGGGCTTTCCAGGGGTGCATGTGACCTTGGACAAGGCAGCTCTCTTTGGCTGAGGCTGTTCCCAAGGAGGAAGGCAGCCGTGATTCAGCACTCCTGGTCTGGTGGGGGGAGGTTGGGGATGGGGTTGGGGGTGGTCAGAGTGCCAGGTACCCAGAGGGGATCTGAATGCCACACCACCACTATACTCCCATGAAAATTCCCATTTGTCTTAAAAATGAATTCATGTTTGTACTGTACTCTATAATATATATGTGTTGGATTAAAAATGTCTTAGATTCTGCACCAGGAAGTGAAGTAGAATCTACAGGGAGTTTCACGGCGCTTGTTCCTATGACTTCTCAAACCTTCTAGGCGACTGCCACAGGCCCCAGTGTGAGAAGTTGCTCTCTCCTCTAGCCTCGTTCTTTTCCAGATACAAAACTGAGATCTGGGGTTATGAGGCGTGTGGAAATCCCATAGCTTGTGAGGGGAGGGCTGGGCGTGAGCCACCCACCTGGTCTGAAGCCCTTTCCACTTCTCCTTGCTGCCTCGCAGACGCATCTGCTCATTCACCACAAAAGGGAACTAAGCAACTGGAAAAAATGCCAGAAAATCCAGTGCTTTCTCTGCAGGCATGAGGGCTTACAGTGAAAGCTCAGGGGATCTTGTGAAAAAACACCCGTGTTGGTTTAAAGAGCAAATGGGTTTTAAAGAATCTTTACTATAAGCCGCCTCATTTTGCTAGCAGAATAAATAAAAACAGACCCTCCAACACAGTTAGTGTGAAAGCTCCTGAAAATTACAAATACTTCCCCAATTTTCCCAGAGGCTGGACTCTCGTTTAGTGATGCAAAGGAGTGTCAGAACCCAGGGAGCGGGTGTGGGTAAGGGTGCCTGAGCCAGACTCTGCTCACATTCCTCTGCGGTCCTCAGCATTCCGGTGGAAGGCTCCGAGTGTGTCTGTGTATGTGAGCACAGGTGTGCATATGCATGTGTGCGTCTATGTACATGTATGTGCATCGTATGTGCACATGTTTGGGGGTGTCAGAGATGAGAGGGAACCTCGTGTAAACGGGTCAGTAAATAATGAGTAGCAGAGTTTCTCATCACACGTCCTAGACGGATGTCAGAGAAGGGGAAATATAAAGATATATGTTTCATGTATGCAACAGTGTTTATATACATGTGTGTGCGTGGTATATATATATATATATAAACATTGTTGTATACATACATAAATCATTGTTATATACATATGTACATGCGTATATAATGTTATATATATAAAACATTGACAGTTTTTTTCTTAAATACAGAAAACTACAACACCTAGACTTTTTCTTTCATGTCTCGATTTCCCTTTTATTCAGGTGCTTGAAGGACTTCATTCACCTGTGCATGATGGGCTCAGCTAGGATAAGGGGGTTGGTGTAGCTATAGGGGGAAAGATTCTGCCGTCCCTGTCACCTGAGGGGCTGCCTGCATTTCAGGAAGTGCAGCTGCCCTCTAGCGGCCCGCAGAGAATGTTCAGAAGAAGAAGAAAGGCTCATTTAGGGGCATTTGGAAACTAGCCCAGGAAGCTATTCAATCGCTTCTTCTTTGTATCCTGCAGTTTGTTCCTCAGATCATTGTTTTGACTTCTCCTAATTCAATGTCATTTCTTCTCTCTTTTGTATGGTAGTTGCATGGAGTCTGCCGAAGGAAGGCGAATGATACAAAAATATGAAGATACGCTCTCGTTGCTGGAAAAGTAAGCAGCTTCTGGGACAGTATTGTTCTGCAGGTGGCATAGCCCCAGGATGCTTTTTGCAGTTCCGAGTTTGTGCAGATTCCTCAGTGGCTATGAAATGTCACTCTGTATTTTATGTTATAGCCACGACATCTGTGAGTACAGTGCTTCTGGGGTGCAAACACAGGGTCTCTGGGGAAAAGAGCTCTATTCTAGAAACAGACAGTTTTCCAGTGTAGTTTTGCTGGGAATATGAAGTCAGCAGAGCTAGATGTCGGGCGCTCCTTGTGGCACTCCGAGATCAGTGTCACAGCAAATTGCAGCAGCTGCTCACTAAGCAGAAAGCAACAGTTCGTGCTGCACAAAACACAGCAAGTTTTAAAAATACTTCCTGTATCCTTTCACAGAGAAAGCATAAGAATGAAAGCTTGCATGGGTTCATAGTTGCTCCTGCTTCAAAGCTTCAGTAAGCCTTTTGGGGGTGCGGGGTCTAGACAGCCCGTTGTCTTGCCTCCTCCCTCTGCCGTTTGCTCTTTCTCCTGATTCAGGACAGTAGGCTGCAGACATTGTGATTATGCTTATAGTGATGATTATGCTGAGCGCTGTGTAGACAAATCAATTGGTGGCACCTCCACCAGCCAGGTGACCCAAGTTCTCTCCTTTCTACTTCCCAGATAGCTTCAACCAGTCCCCTCCTCTCTGTCCCCACCTCCCCCATCTGCACCAGAGACCACCACCTCTCAGGCCTGAACTGCTACAGCAGCTTCCTAACAGGGCTCCCTGCTCCAGATTTGTGCCCCTCGGTGCCCACACTGTCACTAAATCCCATAAAGTCACCAGCCTTGTGGCTGGGCAGCCTTTCAGAGCCTCCCGTTCACCCCTTAATGGGATGTGAAAAGTTCTCCCTGAGGTGGCCTTTCCTCCCTCTCCAGCTTGACACTGTCCGCTAGCCATTCCCGCACACGGTCTGCTGTTTCTCACCTCCACCCTCTGTCCAGGCTCTTGCTTCTGCTAGGAACACTCCTTCTCCGTTCACTGTCCAACCTCTGCTCATCTTCTGAGACTTGGTCAAGCGTCACTTCAGCCCCTCTTCCATGAAAGCGTCCCTGGCATTCTCCTTATCACCACCCCGCCTCCCATTAGCTACCTAGTGCTCTGTGCATCTCTCTAGGATTCTACTCGCTGCATTCTCTGTTCACCTGGGGCCCCACCATTAGCTGCTTTTACCATGGGGTATCCATTCTTTGTTTTATCTCCCAAGCCCAACACATGATAGATGCTCAGTCAGTGTGTAATGACTGAATGACGAGTGTCTGTGAGCTACGTCAAGATTAGTGTGAGAGCAAATCTTATCCAATAACTTCTTCTGGTGTTCACTGAGACTAATCACAACTTCCCTTATTCCTCAAAAAGGTTGCATAGAATCTCTCTTTCTATTCTCTGATTTAAGCTACACCACCTTTAGAAATGAGTGGTTATCTGCAGGAGCTGCCATGCCTGGCTGAGTCAATGACTTTGACTTAAGAATGTATTCAGATATTTTATTAATATCAACTTCAGTTCATTTTATATACACATACACAAACATATAATATATATATGTATATATTCTGTAGGATATATGTTATATATGTCATTATTTATAGGTAGATAGATATGTTATATATATCTTCAGTTCATCGTTGCCAGGCTTTGGGGAGCTGGGAGGGTGCTTATGAGGTGGCTGTTGTCTCTGATCCTCGCAGATATGAGACAAGACTCTATGAGAACTGGTGCCAGACAGTATCAGAGAAGTCACAGTACAATCTTTCCCGGCCACTTCTGAAACGTGACCCAGAGACGAAGCAGATCACCGTCAACTTTAACCCACAGGTAAGTAGGACGGGAGTAACTTGCTTTTGAGTTCCTGAAGGATTATGTTTAACTCTGATGATTTCAAAGGCAAAAAGACTTTTTATAAGAATATGCAAATGCTGCTCAAAAAAATTTGCAACCTAGATTTCCCTTTTGGGATGAATCCTGTGGTATACTGTTTTCTTAAGTTGTCCAATGTTCATGTTTTCCTCCAGAGTTGGGTATGTATATTTGCTTTGATTTTGCACAAAAGAAAATATTGCAAAATACTTTTTGAACTTTCTTATGATAACAGCTTTATTATGAACTTGACTTCACATACAAAGTTAGAATAGCAATTACACTTAAGATTAACTCATCACAAAGTACTATGTGAAATTCCAGAAGGTATTTCAACAGGTAACAGGTATCGCTACCCATCTTTGGACAGATAGAATAACAATGTTACCAACCATTTAGTACCAAACGGACTCTCTTAGTCCTACTTTGAATGGGAGCCACACCTGAAGGCCATTGACTAGACACTGGAGGGCCAACCAAGTGTAAGACCTGGCTCCTGCCCTCAAGGAACCCAAAGCTAGTTGGGAGCAAGAACCTTAACAAGCAAAAATCTATCTTTATTAGATAGCACATGATAAATCTCAAAGGAGTAGCTTTGGAAATAAGACTCTAGATTAGAGATTCTCAACCAAAGCAATTTTGTCCCCCAGGAGACATTTTTGGTTGTCAAACGTGGAGTGGGTGCCAATAGCATAGAGTGGGTATATAGCAGGGATGCTGCTAAACTTCCTACAATGCACAGGACAGCGCCCCCCAAGAAAGAGTTTTTAGTCTGAAAATGTCAATAGTGTCAAGTTTGAGAAACCCTGCTCTAGATGATCAGAAGGGTGCAAGACAAATGTGGATTGTGGCAGCCATGGAAAGCTTAATGCTGGAGAAAATGATAACCAAAAGTTAGCCCATATCAGGAAGCCCATTATTCAGCTAGAAAAAATATTGGCTCTGCTGAGCTAAAAGGAGTCACCATTTCTGTCTTGATGGCATTCCTGTTCTCCAGGAATGCAGTGTGGAGATTGCTGGAAATGAAGCTGATAGCATACTGATGTCTTTTGAGAAAATTGCAGTTTAAGTAGAACATCAATTCCGACTGGAATAAAGTCAACAAAGGGAACTGGAAGATCCATTTCTTCAGTTTGATTATACATGGGTCTGTTGTTTAACTCATTTATCTCCTTGGAGTAATTTCATCAGCATTCACTGTGAGCGATATTGAATATTAAATGCCCAAAAAGGTGAGTATCTGGTTTACCAACGAAGCCGCAGTGTAGGTGTTAAAATTGTGACAATTAAGTCCTTGGTGTAAGACAGTGTTGAGGATGGACTACTCCTCCTCCAAATACTCCAAGGGCAAGGACTCTCTCTGTCCCAATGTGTAGCACATAGTGTGCTGTATAGGTGTTTGTAGGAAGAGAAACGATAGAGAAGAAAGGAGTGAGTGAAGAAAAGAAAAGGGGTGAGGGGTAAGTAAATACCTGGTTTACAATGTGAGTCGAGGGAGAGGACTGCAAACACAGGTCAGAGAAGAGCTATGAACATCCCTTGACTTCCAACTTCAAGTAATGTGGCAATAGCTGTGCTATTAAGAGTGAACAGTCACACACATAGTATTCTAGAGGGACATGATCAGAGATTTGTCCCTTTGGGGCCAAGATGAGAATTGTATAGGGAAAAAAATAAAAAATGAAAAAATATATAAATTTATGTAAATTGTTTATTTAAACTATTTCAAGTGCCCTACTGTTGGGCATTTAAATTATTTTCTAGTTTTGTCAATCTGTGTTTAATTGAGTCTAGGACACACCTTTTATTTACATCTTAACATCTCTGAAAATAGCATATGTTTATCGTTTAATAAATCACATTTTCTCTTTCTTCCTTAGTTGGATATAAAATAATAGAGAATCTTATCATTGATGGCATCTTACATTTGGAAAAAATATGGTATAAATAATGCTACAATAAACATCTTTAGTTATTATTATATCCATTCTTGATTATTTTGGGGGGAAAATGCCTAGGAATGGGATTACCTGACTAAAGGGTATTCACATTTTGAGGATTTTCATGTATTTTATCAATTTATTCTTCATAAAATGGAACTCAGTCATTCTCTTGCCAGCAAGATGTCATTCATTTCTTCCAATCACTTCCAGCCTATTGAACTAAAAAAAAAAAAATATGTCAATGTTGTTTTAATTTGCATTTATTTGACTACTGGTAAAGTAGAACTTTTTCACATGTTCATTGGTTGTTTATATTTCTTCTTCTATGAATTACTTGTTCATATCCTTTGCCAACTTTCGAGTGCAAAGTGCCCTCTTTGCCTGTGAATTTGCTAGAACATTTGGGAAATATTTGTCAAATATTAAGAAGTGTGCTGCAAATATTTTTGCTGGTTGAAGTGTGCCATTTTATTATGTGTATGATATTTTGTACAAATAAATTTTACCTTTATTTGGTGGTTGTGTTTGGAATGGCCTCCTATACCTCAATATTATATAACTAGCCTCACAATTTCTCTTAATTTTTTGTTTTCATTTTTTACTTTTAAATTTTTAATATCTATCTTGAGCTTCTTTCACAGTGAACTAGGAGGCTGAGGTCATTTCCCCGCCAAACAGTTAGCATTTGTCCTAACCCTGAGTAGGGTGGGCTGGGCAACAGTGAAGAACTTGCCCAGAGCTACTGGAAAGAGAAATAGGAGCCCAGGAGTCTTGATATGGAGGTGGGGAGTGGGGAGTGGAGGCAGGGGGTGGAGGTGGAGAATCTATGGCTTGGTATCTGTTTTGTCACCTACACCAAACACATCAGTCCTCATAGGTTCAGAGATAGACATGATAAATAAGCAAGGGATGAAGAAGAGGGCGCCTAGAAACCCTGCTGGAGGCCTCTCTGTTTTTTCATCGGACCACATCTTCTTGGCTTCTCACTTCTGCAGCTGCCACTAAATGCAGTGCCCCACAAAAGTTCAGAGGCCTGCGTGGCTTCCGTATGCTGACGTCCTAGTATATTAAGGCACAAAGCCATGCCAGTACAGGGTTACAGAAATTGTGAGATTTCCAAATGATTGTATTTAACAATTAAAGTTGTACAATGGACATGTCCTCTCAATCCTGCCAGTGTCTATGACTATATGTATGACCTCATTTGGAGAGAATATTGGAAGCCTAAATTCAAGGCTTCTCAAGCATGTGGGTGGCCCAGGCCAATGGGATCCTCCTGTTTCATACCACCACCCCTCGATGGGAACTGAATTGGTCAGCGTGACCTATCATTTCATCAGCCACATGCCCAGAAGCTTCAAGGCAGGGCTCTCCTCTGTGATCTTGGTTGTCTCCTGTCTCAGCTTTTCCTCTTCTACTCTTTGTTTGTGATTATCAGATTCAGTAAACCTTGCTGCTTTATGAGTCATCTTCCTTCTGCCTAATACTCAATTTCCCTTCTCTGAAACTAGATTTAAGGAAGGAGTGGGAACAGAAGTTAAGAAGGGACCTGGAAGCCCATTGAGTCCCTTGGGGTTTTCCACTCCTTCACTGATGTTGTTGCTATTCACTGCCACTGAATTATAGCCACTTGTGTTGATTTTCTTCTCCAGCTGATTTCAGTGCTGAAAGAAATGAGTTATCTTGAACCCAGGCAGATGAAGCACATTCCTGAGACAGCAGCAGCTATGTTCTCCTCCAGGGAATTCTATCGGCAGCTTGTGGCTAATTTGGAGTTGATGGCAAATTGGTACAACAAGGTTATGAAAACTCTGCTAGAGGTGGAATTTCCGTTAGTGGAGGAAGAGCTGCACAATATTGATCTCTGCCTGAGAGCCGCAGAGGAGACTCTGAACTGGAAGACAGAAGGTAACAGGCACCACCTGGAGTCAGGGAAAAAGATTGGGAGTCGAGATTCTAATAACGTTGGTAGAACCTCAAATGATTTCCTGGTAATCTGATTTGGAATTGAAGCACAAGTCTATCCTCTCCTCAGATATGTGTCTAAAGTAGAGAAGGCAAGGAGGGTTGGTATTCCTTTTCTCCCTTCTCTTTGGATATGATCGGTATGTTTAGAAAACTTTGCTGCCAGGCACTTGTTAAGGCTGAGAGGTTGCATGAGCTCTCCCACAGTCTCCAGCATATATCGGACACTCCAGGAATGAGGATTTTTACTATATTATCCCTGTTACTTAATTTTCTTAAGTAGATGGTAAACATCTTAGTGAGGGAACTATGCATTTACTTCTCTTGCATCCTCTAATTCAATTCAACACACTTTCATTGTTTGATTAACTTGTGCAGGGTACCATATGAGGAACTGTGGGGAGAATATAAGATATGAGGTTTGTGTGTCTTGGCCCCTACCCTCAAAGAGCTCACATTAAGTAGGGACAACAGACATATGTTCAGCCTAAATTGTACAATACGATGGCTATGATAAAACGCCATCACAGAGTTAAAAATAAAGTGTGATGGATTGCCAGGAAGAGAGATTAATTTGCATTAGGATTCTCAAAAGAGTTAAAGTTTGAAAAGAAGATCACTGTCAACTTATGGAAGTCTTGGAATGCCATACTAAACAGGTTAAAACTTTATTCCATATACAAGAGGGAATGACATTTTCAACATTTAACACAGCAAAAGTGCTTGAAAAAACAAGATTTGTTAACCCAAATAAAGTCATCGAGTTGTACTGGTATGGCTCAACAACTGTACCAATTTTCATGTTCTTGCTAAGTAAGCATCACCTCTTTGTTTCCTTTTCTCCGTAATCAGGGTTAGGGTAAGAGTGGGAACTGGGAAGAAGAAGGCTCTGATGATAACAAAGTAACCTATGCAGAAAAGTCTTATAAAACCCATGAGTGTTGAATGCCTCCTTCATAGCAACTAGAGCTTTAGCTATGCCGCTGTAAGCTATTTTAATTAGTTGTTTCTTTTGGGGAGCAGGCATTTGGGATTATGTCATTCAAATCACCAATAGTATTCATGATCTTGAACAAAGAATTCAAAAAACTAAAGACAATGTGGAAGAGATCCAAAGCATCATGAAAACATGGGTGTCTCCAATATTTAAGAGAAAAGATGGGAAAAAGGAATGCCTTCTTTCTATGGATGATCAGCGTGATCGAGTGGAAAAGTATTACAACCTCATCAAAGAATCTGGCCTTAAGATTCATGCCCTTGTTCAGGTAATAACTAACCTCTCAGACACACATGCCATGAGTGTGGGGAAAGCATCAGGAGGTGTGTTTAGGTGCAAGAAGTGATTTGGAAATTAGAACAATCAATAAATGCTGTATCTTCTGCAGTCAGGGATAGAGGTTTATACCGATAGCAGAAGAACTAAAGCTAATAGATGCAGGAGTTGCAAAGTCACATTCGGGTCTCAATGTGTCAAAATTAATACTGGCTTAATGGTGACACCACTTAGTCATCACATGACTTAAGTCCCACATCAAACCTCAAGGGGATAGAAGGGGATATCAAAGGACAGAATGCTAAATTGTCTATTGCATTAAGCACCCCAGATTTCCCATACAACTTCGTGTGGGCCTCCAGCATCCTCTTCATAACCTAGCTCTACAGAGCCTGAAGAGATGAGAGATTACCATGGTATCCCCAACCACATTTGTTAAAGAGAAGAACAAATGCAGAGTGCTGCACTTCATGCTGTAAGGCTCTGCCCTGCATTGTGATGAGGGCAACCTCATGTTCATCATCAAAGACGGAACAATAGAAAAGAGCTGTAAATGGCCACTAGCTCCAAACCTATGAAAGTAGCCATAGGGCAGTTATGACAGGTAGAGCTCATGCACAAAGTCAATAATGGATCACAACTGTTATCTCTGGGTTATCTATTGTTTGAAGCACAATAAAATGTTGTACTTTTGACTTTGTTAATTTTCTTTATCTGTTTTCTAGTTCATTAATTTCTGTTCTGACTTGATTATTTCTTTGTAGCTAATTTGGGGTTAATTTGCTCATCTTTTTTTTCTATCTCATAAAGATAGAAACTTAGGGTATTGATTTTAAGCCTTTCTTCCTTTCTAATACAAGCATTTATACAAATTTTCCTTTTAGCAGTGCTTTAGTTGTATTCCACAAATTTTATCTGCCTCATTTTCATTATCATTCAGTTTTAAATTTTTCTCTTATGATTTCTTCTTTAACTCAATCCTTGTTTAGAAAGTGTATTTAATTTACACATATTTGGGGTTTCTCTGCATACCTTAATGAAATTGATATCTAATTTAATTCCATGTGGTCAGACAAAATACTGTGTAAGAGTTCAATCATTTGGGATTCACTGAGGCTTATTCTATGACCCTGAATATTATCCATCTTATTGAATGTTTCTTGTACACTTGACAATATGTTTATTCTTCCATTGTTGGGTATAGTGTCCTGTAAATATCAATGAGTTCAACGTGTTAATAGTATTGCTGAGATCTTCTATATGCTTTCTGAGTTTTTGTCTATTTGTTCTACCAATTACTGAAGTTAGAGTGTTAAAATCTCCACCTATGATTTTGCATTTGTCCATTTAATCTTTTAGTTCTGTCATATTTTTCATCAAGGATTTGAAGTTCTGCTAGTAGGTACCAACATATGTATAATTATTATAACTTCCTGATGAATTGACCATTTTATCATTATGAAATTCTTTTTTATATCTAATAATACTCCCTTGCCTTGAAGGCTATTTTCTTCTGATAGTACTACTATAGCCTTTCCTTCCAGATTCACTCTTCCTACTTTTTGCATTGTCCATCTTTTTCCATCATTTTACATTCAACCTATTTGTTTCTTTGGATCCAAATTTCTTCTCTTACAGACAGCATATAGTAGAAACTTACTTTTCTAAGTCTAAAAACTCTGCCTGTTAGTTGGAGTGTTTAGACTATAACATTTAATGTAATTATTGGTATGGTTGGATTTAGCTCTACCATTTTGCTATTTGTTTTCTATTTGCTTCATCTCTTTTTTGTTCCACCTCTCTTCCTCTCCCACCTTCTTGTTATTTATTATATGTTTTTAGCATTTTATTTTAATTTTTAATGAGTATTTCAGCTTACCTTGTTGCATTACATTTGCAGTGTTGTTCTAGGTTTCAGTATGTCTCTTGAACTAACCATAATCTTCTTAGAGTTTTCCCATGAAATCTAGTAACAGTATGGTTCAATTCAACCCTCCCTGCCCCATATTTTGTACTATTGGAGTGTGTTTGTGTGTATAAAATAATGCCCACAATAGGGTGTTATAATTTTTTGCTTTAAAAACTCAAGAAAAAGATTTTTATGGTGCTTTATATCTACCCACATCCTCACCATTTCCAGACTTGTTTTTCCTCTCTGTAGAACTGAGTTACCATCTGTGGTCATTTCTCTTCAGCCTGAAGAATTCCTTTTAGTATTTCTTCAGTTCAGGTCTACTAATGACAGAGTCTCTCAGTTTTTGTTTATCTGAAAATGTCCTTATTTTACCTTTGTTTTTGAAGAGTAGTTTCATTGGATATAGAATTCTGTGTAGACAGTTTTATTTTTCTTTCAGAAGTCATTTTGTTGTCTTCTACCCTCCAATGTTTCTGATGAGAAGCCACCCATAATTTCTTTCTTTGTTCCTCTATATGTAATGTATTGTTTCTCTCAGGCACTTTTAATAGATTCTTTTTTAATCTTTGTATTTTTTTCCTTTTGATTATAATATCCCTAAATAGGTTTCCTTTATATTCATCTTTCTTAGAATTTGTGAACATCTTGATTCTGTTTTTTAACCAAATTTTGGGAGTTTTTAATCAAATTGTGACCTTCTTGTCTGCTAATGCCAACATCTATTTTATTTCCTGAGTCTTTTTTTTTTTTCAACGTGACAAAGTTGTATTTTTCTCTCATATAAAATAAGTCTAAGGAATAGGCATTCCAAGATTGGTATGGCAGCTATTTTCTGAGTCTGTTCTTAGTGATTATTTTCTCTCTTGGTTAAATGTCACATTCTCCTGCTTCTTTGCATGTCTAGTAATTTTTTTCATTATGTTCTAATCATGTTAGATGCCATTTTAGAATCTGAGTGTTATTTCACTTAAAGAGTTTGTTTCTGTTTTGGCAGGCAATTAACTTACTGGTAGTTCAGCTTGATCCTGCTGAAGCTCAATCTTAAGCTTTGTTAGGGAGGGTCTAAAGAGCTCTTACTCCAGAACAGAGCAGCTCTCATCCTAAAGCATGGCATTTCTGGGGTCTTCTGAAGGCCTGGGTTAACTGCAAAGTCTTTTCATATTTCTGATAGAACACTCGCATCTTCCAGCACTATATGACGACACAATCTCCATTCAGCTTTGAGCCCCCAGTAACTGTTCCCTGCCAGGCTTTGCAGAGGCTTGCCCTAAATATATACAGCTTAATACTCAGTCAAAGACTCAAGAGGACTCAGCAACCTCAGCAGCTTCAAACCCCACTTTCTGTCTTTTCTGCTCAGCAGGAAGCATGCTCTAACGGAGGTCCATTTTCCTGTACCATGGCTTGGAAAGTGCCTCTAGGTAGGAAGACAGTAGGTTGTGAAGCTCGCCTTGAGTATTTCCATTCTCTCAGGGATCATGTGCCTGTACTGTCTGTCATCCAGTTGCCCCAAACAATTGTTTCTTGCATTGTATCCAGTTCTATAGTTGTTTGTAGGAGAAGGGCAAGTCCAATCTCATTCCTCTGTCTTGGCTAGGATCAGAAACTCGAGCTATTTCTTCTTAGTTTACAGAAAATTCCAACATGTTTGCTCCTTCCATTGTAGTAGATTTGAGGTAGAAAGGTGAAAAGTACATATGGCTGTATTGATAGGATGACAATAGGGAAGAGATAGAACAGCTATACAAAGCAGTCATAAAAACTAAAAGTTTTTAAATATAGAAACAAACAGATATACACTTCTTAATAAAACTGGGGGCAACACGGTATTGTCACTGTGTCATGATTTGCATGATTAAGGACTTTCATTAAATCTTAAACCTACTTAGGAAGGAAAAGTGTAGGTAACACATTTTAGAAATTTTAGAGTTTTCTCACTTCAAGGTGGGATCATGAAATTTTTTAAATCCAGGGGAATTTACAACACAGCAGTGTTTCCTGAAGGGGTGTGAGTTACCTAGAAAATTTACTTCTGCCAAGTAGTTACTGCTTTCTTTGAAGATGTAAGATAATGGAAAGTTGCTGTAATAAGGCTTAATAATGAAAATGATGAAGAGTAAATGGGATGTCTATACTTGCCATACCACCAGGCCAGGGACTGCAGCATGTAAAAGGGAAGGGGAGGGAAAGAGCACATGTGGATTTGTTTGTGTTTACATTTTCTAAGTCACTCAGTATGATAAAGGTTTTCAGTTAATGGTAAATGCCAACAGCAAAACACTCCAGCTCATTTCTAAGGATCATCCAGGAAATGCTTTACTTGTTTGAATCCCAAATTTCTTGTAAGCCTTAAAGTATAATACCCTCTACCCTTAGCATGCCTTCCTCTACCTACCTTAATTTCTGCCCTGATGTAGCTTTCTCCATAGTACATCAGTCAGCATTTATGAAGCACATACTGCATCCATCAGCATCCCTCCTGAGATGGTGGCCTGACCCCATCCTCTTTTCTCAGGGACAGGATGAGACACCACATTCCCTTCATGGATTAACTTTGTGTTCCTTTCAAGCAGTGGTTACACCCATTAGACAGAATGGGTTTGGTACCAGTGTAATAGCAAATTCTTCATTAGAATGCTTTTTTCTCCATGTGTTGTTTTCATTCCCATTAGTGATGATTAGACAGTCCTTCCATATTATTAAACATAGTTTACATCTATTCTTCTTTATTTTGTAGGAAAACCTGGGTCTTTTTTCAGCAGACCCAACCTCCAATATCTGGAAGACTTATGTTAGCTACATTGATGACATGTTGCTGGATGGATTTTTTCTTGCCATTGAGTGCTCCCTCAAGTACCTTCTGGAAAATACTGGTATTTACTAGCTTATGGATGTGGGTTATTACTGGAAAGATCACAGTAATAGCATCTGTTGAGTTACGGTGAAGTGCAATTTAGTGCTCTGTGACTTTTCCCAAATTGTTGTGGACATTTTGTGAATTATATACAGTAAACTAGCAAAGGTACTGTTTCTAAATTGTCCAAAGAGAAAAGACTTCTCTCTCTTCAAAAATCAGACGATAGAGCAGGTTCTAAGATAGTGGAGCCCAAGGAAAAAGCAAAAATATAAAGGCTAATTCAGTGTAAATCAAGCTTCAGTGAAGAGGAGTGACTAACTTGGAGCAGCAGGAAACACAGTCAGTAATGACGGCTTCATCTGGACTTGACTCATGGCCATGGGAGGGGGACATTCTGTGCCTTCAAGCTTAAAGGACTCTATCTCTGTAGCCTGTTGAGAGCACAGGGAGGTTGTAGTAGCTGGGTTAAGTGGAAGAAACAGATGTTTTTCTGTGTGAAAGAGTCAACCAAGAAGCTAGGGATGAAGTAGCTTTCAGAAGGAAAAGGAATGTTAAGAAGGTAATGGGCAATCTTTGAAGCTGTTAAAAGATAACTAAGGGCTTTGAGTTTATGGCAGATACACTGGAGTGCACAGAGTCAAAGATATTATAGTAAAGTCTCACCTCGTCTAGTAAGTGATGGGATAGAAAGGACAGAAGAGTTCAGGAATAAAGTTGAATTAAGCCTTTCGCATTCTGGTAGATTCTGAGCAGCTTGGCAAGGGTCATATAGAAGAATTAGTCAAAATAGAAAGCCAGAGGTGAATATTTTGAAGCCAGAAGATAAAATGAGATGAGATGAGAGTTTAAGATGTAGAGTCCAACCCAAAGAAATAAATTTTATGCAGAGTTGAAATAGGTAGGCCATGATCAGTGTCCAGATGTCCAGCCCATACGAGAGAGCACATGCAGACACCCAGACTGAGAATACAGAAAGGAGCAAGGCCCAGAGTTGGGTGTAGCTCATGTGTGCAACTCCGCCGTGGTCTTGGTAGGTAGAGTGACTGAGGTCAGAGGCATGGTCTTTGCTTGTAGGGTGCAGGGATGCTCCAAATCAAGGAGATCCAACAACAAGAAACAAGGGTTCCAGCAGAGTCAGCAGGGTGGGAGATCATCTTCTGGACCCTGGGGGCATGTAACCAGTGGGCATGGAACACAGGCACTGAGACTGGAGAACTGGTTCCTAGGGACCAATGCTAATAGTGCTCACCTTAGTGAACTAGACAAAGCTCCTTTGATGTTGGAAGTGTGGGGGTCCTTCTCACTCAGCCCTCCTCTGGACAATCCAGGAAGATGCCCCACCCACACTGGAGCACAGGCAGTGCACAAGAGATGGCCCCTCAATGTAGTGACTCACCCTTGACCAATGGCTCTCCAGCTCTCCTGATCTGGGTTGTCTGATGTGTCACTTGTCTTCCTCTTATAAGAAATAGAGAGTGGGTACAAGAGGATGGAGAGAGGGGATGGTAGTGTTTCTTCAAGATTGTCAAAGTTATCTTCCCTCCATGGAAGTGGGGGGGAAGGGGAATGCATTTTCTTCCCAATACAGAATGGGCAGGAACTGGATTTAGCAGCTGCCTGAGCTGAGGAGCTATAGATGCAATTTAAAAGGTACTGGTTATTAAGGGGAGGGGGAGCCTCAAGAGAGTAGCCTGTAAGAAGAAAATCGCTGTGACCCTTTGCCATAGCCCAGCTGGACAACTCTATTTCCCTGGCCCACTTTACCATTTTCACCTTCTCTAGTTTGTTCCAACCAATACCATTCCCATGGCTTGGGCTGGCCTCGCAGTCACCTCTCAGAATCTAAATGCTGCCTAGGTTAAATGCCACCCACTCCATCCAGAAACGCTCTTCCCTTTCTCGACTCCTAAAGTGATTTACTTGTACCAAGGTTGTGGAACCACCAAAACCATCTGGCTTGTATGGCATTGCTTCTAACATAGGGGTTAGGTTCTCATATCAACACATAGGGCAAAAATCTCATATAGTCAAAATATTCTTGGAAGTCTTTTAAATCCCTTAAACTATATGCAACCTGATCTATTAAATTATAAATGTCTAACACATATAGGAATATAGAATATATCATGAGTACATATGCAAAGCAAAATTTGACAGGTGTTTTTCTTTAAACTATTGTACAATAGTATGATAGTTACTATGATATTGGTAAACTTCCATCCCCTTAAGTTAAATATGCATTTGTTGGGAGGATCCTGAGTCCCATAATGCAGATTTATCACCCCTACAGTTTTGAAGGCAAGACCCTTGTCTTACATATCTTTAAGGATCCCACAGTTTTTTAGTAAAGGAGAATGGCTAAGCTATGGTAACGAAAACTCCATCAGTAATGTGGCTTAAAGGACAAAGAAGTCCATCTCCAAAGTACTAGTCCAAAATGAGTGCTCCAGGTTAGTGGCAAGGTTATTCCATCCTGTGGTTCCACCACTCTCTAGGGCCTGGTCTTCATGTCTGTGGTTGAGCTGGGTCACTGCCACATTCCCTGTGAGCGGAAAAGAGAGAATGTAGAGAAGACTTACCTCCTGTCTCGAGGGCCTCAGCCCAGAAGTGGCACCTGTCACTTCCTCCCATTTTCCACTGGTGAGGGAATCATGTTGCTGCACCTAACTGCAAGCTGGGAAATGCCACACACCCAGCTGTAACTCTGTTTCTAGGGAAGAAGAAGATAACAAATTCCACTGAGTGGTCTCCGCCACCCATGGTACCCAGCACATAACAGTCTCCGAAATATTTCTAAAATATATGAAAATAAGTGGCTATTGATATAAGTTTAAGTATTTATCTTGTACTTGGAACATCTTGCTCCGTGTTATATTTTGATTTAAATCTAGTAAGGCAAGTTAGTCTAGCAGATAATCAGGGACTTGTTAATTATTTATATTATTTTTAAAATTTTTATCACTACAGGACTACAGAATTAAAATAAGTTCTGTTTTTATGGAAAAGGAGCAAAATGGGCAGGATCGTAACTTCTCTTTGTTTTTCATGCCTACACAACCCTGGACAAATATACCCCTGTGACCCTAGTGGCTGCTGATGAAATTGCCTGGTTTGTGCCTGAGAAGAAATCGGCTGCTTCCAAGAAATTGGCTTTGTGAAATCAACCTCTTCTCAACCCGAGCCTGCACTGCCCCACTGGAGGCGTTTGGGAATGTGGAGGGGGTCTGGCTTGGGTTCCTCAGTCACTGGGTTGTGCTCTCTGAAGACAAGAAGAGCAAATGTCCTTGCAATGCCCAGGACAGCCCCAGCACAGGAACGGGCCTATTCAAAATATCAGTGGTTCCCCTGTTGATCAACACTGCAAGACTGTCACCCTCACCTTTTCAGGGTGTTAGCAAATTTTCCACTTCCGTTTTCCTATACTCAAACAGTTCACCTAAAGAAAAGAAATGCTCTCAGTGCTTTTCAAACAGCTTTGCACTTTGCCTATTTGACTCATTCTTGGTTTTGTTTTGTTTGTTTTCTTTGTTTTTCAGAATGTAAGGCAGGACTCACCCCGATATTTGAAGTACAACTGAGCTTAGCAATCCCAGAATTAGTTTTCTATCCATCTCTGGAGTCTGGAGTGAAGGGTGGCTTCTATGACATTGTTGAGGGTCTTGTCACCAGCATTTTTAGAATTTCATCTTTGGTGCCAAAGCTTTCCCCACAAAGCGGCTCTCCCCACTATCAGGTACTGGATCTGCAAGCATTCCACCCTCCGGCCAAATGTGGAACTTCCTGTGAAGCACTGGTGTAACTTCCTGCTGTTGTCTTGCTCCCCAAGGTTGACATGGAGAGCATGGCGGATCTGGCAAGCATGCGGAGCGTGCTCATGGGGAGGGTCCAGAGCATGATGGCCCTGTGCTGCTGCTATCGGAACACCTTCAGCCACTATTCCTACCTCTACGTAGAGGACCGGAAGGAGATTCTCGGTCAGTTTCTGTTGTACGGGCATGTCCTCACACCTGAGGAGATTGAAGCCCACGCAGAAGACGGCATCCCAGAGAACCCTCCCTGCCTCCATCAGTTTAAAGTGCAGATTGACTCCTATGAAAAGCTGTACGAAGAGGTGTGCAGGCTGGAGCCCGTCAAGGTGTTTGACAACTGGATGAAGATTGACGTGCGACCCTTTAAAGCATCTCTGCTGAATATAATTAAGAAGTGGAGCCTCATGTTCAAACAGCATCTTGTTGACTATGTCACTAACAGGTAATATGGTTTTCTAGCTCTCCTGCAGCATCTCAAGCTGGCAGAAACACCGTGTTTTTAATCTTCTTCGTATTTTTCCCCACGGATTCATTGATTAAATTAAAAATTAAAACAGCTGCTTGGAGGTTGCAGGCTTTTGGACACCAGCAGTAACTTTAGTCCTGCTCTTTCCTTTGTGCACCAGACATGGCTTCATTCTGTTTTATTTTCCATTTGGTGCCCAGTGTGTGAAAGGCACTCAGTAAGTGGTAAATAATGTTTGATACAGTAATAGCAGATCCAACCTCCTTCACGCTCTAACTGTGAAATCTCTTTAAGCCTGAGAAGTTGAGGGGGTCTAATGGGCCTCTTAGATTTTATTTCTACCACTTACTCCTTGTCTCCAATTATCCAGCTGAGCAATGTGGAAGTCACTAAATCCCCACACTCTTGATGCCTATCTGTGCCACTCTAGCCATGCAGCGGACTGGATCTAAAATTCTGTCTTTTCCATCATGGACCTAGACCACCCAGCCCAGCACCAGGCTCTCTAAGCCAGAGCAGCAGCCTCTAGATAAATAATCAAGTTGGTTAACAGTCTACCTGTCACTTCACCTTAGCCTCATCTCCACAAGTTTGCAGATTCCCACCCTTCCCCACAGAGTCCTGTTGGGGAGCTCTGGTCCTTCCATTCAGCCATCAGCCTTTGGTATGTCAGCCGATGCTGCAAGGGAGCTGACTTGACTCCTCCTCTAAGTTTGGTCCTGGTCTTGCTTAACGCTGTAGCTGCTGTGCTCAATGATCTAGAAAGGAAACAGCCAAGTCAAGGATGTGTCTAACTAAAAACAATTCCAAGAGACTTTGCAAGGGTGATGGTCCACCACTCTAGGAAACCCCAGGAAAGCATTGTGGAATGTTTCAAGTAGGGCTTCCCAGGTGTTCTTTAAGAAGAAGCAGCCAGTTTTCCACATTCAGAGAGGCAACGATGGGTGTTTAGGAGGTGACAGTGAGGACCCCACGTGGAGTACTGTTGGATGGGACAGCTGTTCTGTGGTCCTTCTCCACTAGTAGGTCTGTTGATGTAAGGACATGGGGGCATGTTTCAAAATGTAGATTTTATTATTGTTTAGGTACAACAAGGCCAACAAATCAGGAGATGACTGTCATTGAAAAGATAGTTTGCTAGACTCATAGATCCCAAGAGGAGTGGGGCACACCACACCATCAGGGCCACCTGGGAAGTACCAGGGTCAGTCAGGAGGCAGAGGGAGTGAGGCGGAAATGTGGGCCATGGACTTTATTATGGTTTCCATGAAAAAGAATGGGTGAGACAGGGCAAGCAGGTTTAGGATTTCTGGTTTGAATAATTTCAACAGGCTCTGGGATAGAGGCCTGTTCTTAGTTATCTGGTCCCTGGCCCTGGGGTGATTAGGGTAGGTGGACAGTGGCCTGGAGTGTGAGAGCCAGATAGAGAAGGTGCTTGGGGATATAGACTCTGGATTGATTGGCTTGCATATGAAAGGCACGCTCAGAGGAGAGTCATTTATTATGTCTAGGAATTGGCTAACCCTGGGAAGGTCAATCCCTCCAGGGTCAGAAAGGCCCCAGATGTCAGAGGATCAGAAACATATGGTTGTTACAGGGCATAGGGACAGCAGCTGCCATGCGTCTCTGTCAGGTCAGGCTTCACAGGATCTAACAGTTGGTTTAACAGGATAGACACATGGTGGAGCAGTTAGGAGGCCTGAGTTCTTGTCCTTGAACCCCTGTTTCCTTGTCTCTGGAAGAAGGCAGTGTGACTGGATTCCTCTAAATTGCCTTCCAGTTTCATCAGTTGGTGATTCCATAAACTGACTACTTTGCTACACTTTAGGAAAATGTGTTATTGTGTTCTCAAAGATTAGATGAAATAGAAACAGTAAGAACAGTAAAAATCATTTATTGTTGAGTGTCTACTATGTGCCAGTTAATTCTGCGATTTCTGCCTTCCCTTAATAGGTGTCAGGATTATTCCCACCTTGTCTTTTGTTTTTTTTAAAGATTGGCACCTGAGCTAACAACTGTTGCCAATCCTCTTTTTTTGTTTTTCCCCTGCTGTTTCTCCCCCAATTCCCCCAGTACATAGTTGTATATTCTTATTCATGGGTCCTTCTAGTTGTGTCCACTTTGTCTTACATCTTATATACTACATTTGCTGTCAGAAGTCCAACTCTTTTTTATCATCTGTCTTATTCAGCTTGGGCTGCTGTGGTATTGTGATTTATAATAAGAAATATTTATTTGGTCTTCCTCTCTGATTCTGGCACAGCTCCTGAAATTCTTGGAATTTCCTAAGTGTTGAAAATGATCAAGGTATCTTTCATTATGTTACTGAAATAACTTTTGGGAAGCACCTGAGGACAGGGGCTGATGGCCAGGAGAACCAGCCTTGTGATTAGAGATTAGCACTTTCAGTCCCACCACCAACGCTGGGGAGGGGAGAGGAGCTGGAGGTGGAATCAATCACCAGTAACTAGTGACTTAATCAATCATGCCTATGTAACAAAGCCTCCATAAAAAAGGATGGGGTTTGGAGAGCTTCCAGGTTGGTGAACATGTGGAGATTGGGAGAGAGTGGTGTGTGCAGAGAGGGCTTGGAAGCTCCACACCCTTTCCCCATACCTTGCCCTATGCATCTCTTCCATCTGGCTGTTCCTGAGTTATGTCCTTTACCATAATCCAGTAATCTAGTGAGTAAATAGGTCCCCTGAGTTTTGTGAGCTGCTCTAGCAAATTAATTGAACCCAAGGAGGAGGTCAGTGGAACCTCCCATCTATAGCCAGTCGGTCAGAAGCACAGACGACAACCTGGACTTGCTATTGGTATCTGAAGGCACTGGGGCAGTTTTGTAGGACTGAGCCCTTAATCTGTGGAATCTGATGCTATCTCCGAGTAGATTGTGTCAGAATTGAGATGAATTGTAGGACACCCAGCTGGTTTTGGAGAATTGCTTGGTGGTGTGGGGAAACCCCAGCACCACGTGTACACATTGGGATTGGTATTAGAATCCTAGTAGCTGCCATAGCAAAATACCAATGAGTGGGGGGCCTAAACAACAGAAATTTATTTCTCACAATGCTGGAGGTTAGGATCAAGATCAAGGTACCAGCCGTTTTGATTCCTGGTGAGAGCTCTTCTCCTGGCTTGCAGACAGGCGCCTTCTCATGGTACCCTCACGTGGTCTTTCCTCAGTGTGTGCGCACAAAGAGAAAGAGATGGCTCTCACTTCCTCTTCCTATAAGGACACTAATCCCTGATGCGGGCCCCACCCTCATGACCTCACCTACTCCTAGTTACCTCCTAAAGGCCTCACCCCCAAATACCATCATATGGCTTCAGCATATGAATTTGTGGGGGACACAAACCTTCAGTCCATAAACTCTCATCCCCCTTCAGCTCTTTCTGCCCTAATCTGACTCAGCCCCTCCCCCTGCCCTCGCAAAGCCTTCCCCTAGAGCTCAGGATCTTCCATCAGCAAATACCCACTGTCCGCTTCATCTTCTCTCACTCTCATTTTGCTCTAACTGAAACCCAGCTGTCACCTGAGGACACTGCTTCTGCTGCAGTCCTCCCAAGCGGGGACTGATATTTCTCCTGTATCCCTCTTCCCACTAGGCCCGGAGGTAGATAAGATGTTCTTGCTCTACAGTGCTGCTCCCAGACCGTTTCATCTCTGTCCACCCTCAAAGTCCTCAGCTCCACTGGAGCAAATTCTGTCAAACGGTACCAACTGCCACTTGTCCTTACTGCAGTCACCTACCAAGCTCTTAGTCATTCTTCCCCATCACTGCAGCTCCTAACATCTGGCTCAATCTCTCTTTCCCACTCTTTTGCTGATAATCGTCCTCAGTGACCCAACATCCACATGGCATCTCCATTACACCTGCCTCTTATTTTGTTGACCTCTCTCTCCAATGCCCTTTCCTTCCGCCATACCTCTGCCACCCAGTTCCATGCCGTGCTCTCTGTGAGGCAGAGGGAAAAGTCTGGAAGTAATTGCTCTCCCTTTAAAGTCTCAGGTTTAAGCATTCCATTCTCGGACCACCACCTGGTATCTTTCTAGCTCACTTACTTGGCAAGACTGCTACAAAAAATTCTTCAGACCCATCAGGATTTCCAATCCATTGGCCGCAACACTTTCTCAGTCTCTCACCCTGGCTCCCCATTCCCATTCCCACCTTGTAAAACTCTGACTCTGTCTAAACTCAGTGCACTGCTCCTGCACCTGAGCAATTCATCCTTGATGAAGGAAAAACAAAACATGCTTCTGACCAATCTCATGTGGAATTTATGAACATAAAATTCAAGTAGGCCCTGCACATTTTCGTAGACGCTTCCCAACTCTTCCAGTCTCCTTTTTCCTCTCTCTACTGAACCTCAAATGTCCTCTCTGCCCTGTAACCTTGCCTCTCATTTCGCTGAAAAATTAGAAGCAGTCACAAGAGAATTAACTCACCTTTTCACCAACAAATCTACCAACCTACCTGCATCTGAAGCTGTACATTCAGCTCCCTCACCTGTTAGAACAGATAAGCTATCCCCGCTTCTTGAAGTCCAACTTCTTTCTTCTCATCTATTCAAGGACTTAGCTCCTTCAGTGTTCCCTATCAACAACATTATCAATTTTTTCCTTCATATATTCTCAGCAGCATGCAAATGTATTGTCCTATCTACCATCTTAAAAAAAAGAAAGGAGCATGGGCCCACAAGTCCTTCCAGCTACAGCATCAGTTTTGTGTGCTCTCCTTCACAGCAAAATTCCTCAAAAGATATATCTGTACTTGATTCCTTTACTTCCTTATCTTCCATTCTCTCTCAACAAAAAGTTTTGCTATAAAATGTAACATACATAAAATTTAGAGAAAAATATTAAAATACTTGCGTTTGCATTATCCAGCTAAGAAAAAGAACATTAGCTATATTTTAAAATTCCCTTACACGCTCTTCCCTGATCAAATTCCCCTCCCTCTCTGCCGGATGTT